TGCTAGGTTGATCGAAACGATCGAACTTGTAAAACAGTATGGGTATACTATTTAATTAATATAAAGGTTTGATCCAACTAATCTGGTGTCAAAGTCACTGTCTTTTTTCGTTTTATGGTTTTTGTTCCTTTTTCTATTCTTTTTTGGTTTTTGTTTTGCTTTTTGTCTTTTTGCTCGTGTTTTTGTCCCCCTAGTTGCCCCCCTTTACTCGGTTAGCTAAGCCTCGTTCGGAGAGCGTACCAGGAAATTTTCTCGAGTTTTCTTAAAAAGCTATCACGGTACAACCGGAAGGTTTGCACGTTCCTGTCGAACCGTACCGCCGGTACTCTAGAATGGGCATTCAGCCCGAAGCTGTCTCAAGTGGGTTCGACTCCGTAGTCTTGATGTCGTAAACACCCAGGAGCGCCATAAAAACACTATGTAACATTCGTCTACTGTAGTCACACATGAGGCTTAAGAAAAATAGGCCCTATAACCATTGGCTCAAGAGTCAGGGACACCATCTCTTGTGTTTTTGTACCTCAAATCAGTCGGAGCCAATTCGGTTCGCTTGTGACACGAGACTACGACCCGTTACAGCTTAAAGGCTACTACTAAAATATCCCCCCACTCTAGAATTAGAAACGTCCCCATACTTAGGTCTCTAGATACCCAAAATACATGAACGCCGTTAAAAACCGGGTCGGAACAATCCGTTAAGTTACTTTTTATTAGACAGTGGAACTTTGATCCATTTCAGATGGATCAACCTAAAACTCGCCTTACCTCAACATAACAATTGTAAAACACACTCTAGAAATTTAAATTAAGGACTCACATGTTGATGCGCTCAAGCACAGGAAGTAATTAAATGGGTGAGCAACTCTAGAATTAACTAAAGTAACTAGATAAGTTCAATGTTTATCAGTTTGAATGGTAAGGGTAAGTTTGAACTCAAGAACGAAGTTTTATGTGGACCATTGGGACACTCAAGCTGTCCACCTTTCCGTCGAAGGTTCACTCTGGTCCAGTTCGAATAATTACTCTCTCGGGAATACTCTGTCTTCTATATCAGATAGGACAGCTCTACTCTTGTTCACTATGATGGAAATTGCGAATAGCAATTTCCCACTCGTTTTTATCTGACAACTTTCCCGCAATTGTTCTAAAATTGTTCTCTTTTCTTTTTCTGATTTTCAGTTATCGCGAGAAAATCGTGCATGACATGTTCCATTCGAAATTTTGAAAAATTAAATTTCACTACAAAATCAAGTGTTTTCTGCTCTTCTCAAGGTCAAACTTCCAAATATGACCGACTGGCACAGAAACGAGATTTCTACACCTTCCCACATTTTAAAGCCATCCTTTCTCGGTTTGTAAGACCAGTCCCTCAGCTTTTTCTCTTGTTCTTCGTTTTGTTTTTAATTTTTTAAAATTGCTCTTCCTGTTTAAACATACTGACCCGGTTTAGTTACGATACAGGTCTCACGTTGGAATATAGGGCTATGAATGATGTCTTCTGGCAATTGGAGATTTAATTTCGCTTCGATATTGTTGCATACATAGGCAAATTCGACATATTGATTTTAGCTAGTTTAGGGTTGGAAAGCATCCCATGGGAAATAGCTTGGCAAGCATAGCTATGAAAGCATCCCATCTGAAAAACCGTCCTGTTTAGTAGAATGATTCCTTCGCTTTTGATGCTGGTTATAAATTGCTCTGCTTCGGGGGAGCAATAACTGTCAGTATATGAGGTTTAAGTATATCGAAAGCACAACTTCGATATGCCTCTGCCAGATTTTCAGCTGGATTCAGGAATTGTTTCAGTATATCGGAAGCACAACTTCGATATGCCTCTGCCAGAACTTCAGCTGACTTGACAATTTCTCTCGAGAATGGGGGATGATTTTGATTATTTGGATTTGTTTTGATTCTTCCGTCGATTTGTTAGGTGTTAGCGCATTTCTGAAATTTGTCTCCGTTTCAATCAGCACCTCATGAGTAATTGGTAGTTGAGATTCCGTCAGTTGCTGTTGACTCATGACTTGGTTTTACTCGTGGGTTGCAAAAAAGCCTTCACCCGGAGATATACTTAAAAAACTGTAAGCCTGCCTTTCTTCATGATCACTTTTCGAATGAAACCAGAAATCAAATCTTCTTCACATGTTTTAAAAAAAATTTCAGAAAACAATTGTAAAATTCTAAACTTATATGTGTGTCAAAAGAAAAGAGCTTCAATGTTTTAACTGGCTCGATCTTTTTATGGGAATGAATATACGAAGTGGAATGTAAAAAAAAACAATCTGAAACAACGCAACCTCACAAAATGCGAGAAACAACCGATGAAACTACCCAAAAAAAAGAAATGAAGATATATCAAGTAACACCTCTGAGAACAAGAAGAGGTGTCTAAAAAGAAAAGCATGATGATAAGGATGATGATATTGATGAACGGTAGTTTATGCGGTTGAAATTTCAGGTTTTTTAAGATCAATTGAGACATGGGCCCGCTTCAAACTGTTCAATCCTTTTGGTTAAAAAATTGTACAAATTGGAAAGAAGTTCGTCATAAAGGACGGGTATATTTGTTTATCTAAGTTCAGCTGCATGCCACGTGCTGGATTTTTGCTACTGTTTCAGCAAGTTGGATTGATTCCATGTTATCCGGGGTATATTGATCAATTGAAATATTTTATTTTAAATATTTGCTATTGATTCCTATTGGTGCCCTTAAAGTAGAATATAGCCCCTCTGCCTTGTGTTTAATTTGTTATGGGGCATGATAAGCTGAGGGTGGGGCTATAAGGATAAAGTTTGCAGTTGCGCCGTTTGAATAATTGAAATAGTCTAAAGTATTGCAGTTTTAAATGGCGTTTATGAGTCCGTTAATTATCAGCTGTAAGAATAGCTGTTGGAAAACAATTATTCTCCATTCATAGAAATGGATTGCGTTGATTTCGAAATTCGATTGCGGTGATCACTCAAAGATGATTTTTTGAAGATAGTTTTACAATACTCTGTAATCACGAAGTGTAGTCCACATAGAGCAATTGTTGAAGCAAAATAGACAGGACATGAGGCTGTGACTTTTGGAATAAAAGTGTCTCTGATTGTGTCATCGAGAAAATTGCTAGCCGCAAAAAAGTGAAACCGATAAGAGGCTCTTATAGTTCCAAAATCAGTATGCTCTAGATTGAAAAATGACACTCTCTGTGCATTTAACTTGACCTTTAAATGCCATTCTATTTTCAATGCTTGGCCTTAATCTCAACCTTAGCCACTGTCAGTTAAAAAAAAATTTCAGAGGAATTTTTTGACATGTTATAAGCATCTAATAGCTTTTCAAAAAAAAAATGTCTGAAATACCGTATTGATGCAAAAATAAGCTGTCAGCTAGGGGAATTTGGTTGTAAATCGATTTTAAGCTTCGTTGTATTCATTATTTTTATGGTTAGCAAAATTATTGCTATCGAGTAGTAGACTTGTAATCGTGTGGACCATTGTAGCCCCCAGCCCAAAAACAAAAATTTATATACTCCCCTACACTGATTTTACTACTATGGGGGCTATAATTTGCTGGGGGAGTTGCTATAATTAGAAACTTGGTAAGTTTACTAAAACGCGCATATGGATGCTGAACAGGTGGGCATGCATGTTAGTTCGATTAGTACGGGTAAGCGTTCTTGTATTGTTAACATTTTTTCAATGAAAAAGTTCAGTGTCGGCATCATTTTTGTTGGCTTTTCAAACTGATATAATTTTCAATTAATTTCAGTTTTCGTTATTCGAGTTTGGTTAAGCTCATTGAGAAAGTATTCGAAATTTTAAAATCAATCTCAGCATATATTTTATTTACTTCTTGTTTAGTTCGGTTCATAGAATTAACTTTGGTTGAATTTTTTTTAGTTCTTGTTGAGTGACCAACTTTTTATCATAAATTTTTGGTGTAGATAATTTAATTATATACTTTTTTGTTGTACAATTTTTCTTTTATTTTTTTTGTGAACTGCTTATTTTTTTTTAAAGGTTTACCGCTTCTAGCCTATGTTCTTTAAAGGCCGATATCCGTTTTAAATGATATACTCCGGTTTAGCAAGCCTGAACTACTATAAAATCAGTAAAAAAATGTTTAAAGAATTTTTGTCCGATTTTGATGTAAAATTTTGATCGGAAATTTGAGTGTTGTCAAAATCTCGAAAACGAAAAAAACTTGAGCTCTTGTCTGTTTTTGACTGGATTGAACAGGTACTCCTTTTTTATTGAGTTAACTTTAATGTTTCGCGGTTTTTCGTTTTTAATGAGCTGTCGTTATTTAGGTAGTTCTAATTTCTCTGCTATACTTACCAGATCTGCTGAGAAAAATGTATGATTAACCTGAGAGATTTTTGGATCTGTTTATTTCGGATCTCTTGTCACTTCGATCAAAAACGGTTTGTTTTTTGGACTTTTTAGAGCTGTTTATATGGGACTGCTCAAATCATTAAAAGAAACAGCTTTAATAAGGTATATTGCCCAACCCCATTTAAATTTATTGTGGTATTTGATTTTGCGTGGAAAAAGACCGAAGTCAAAGTTCTTTTTTAATTAGCCCTCGACCCAGCTCCCACCATTCAACCCTGGGTCTTTTTCTGTGGGGGGGAGATGTCATTCATTTTGCCGCTCCCGGTCCCACTTTGAGTTGAGTTGGCGGATTATACTGGGTCTTTCAACCGTGGCCGAAACCGGATTTGAACCCGCGACCTTTGAATGAGGTGCCGCGCGTCTTACCCACTTGGCGACGGCTGCTAGCAGTCAAAGATCTATCTCACCTTTGATATTGGGATCAAAAAGCGGAAACGCAGATTGAGGAAATTTTTGAAAACTTGAATTTTATGTGAGATTTTTGATGAGATCACTTCTTTACAGTTATCGAAGCGCTAAAAATTTATACCTTAATACAGCATCGGTATTTTTCTCAAGATTTTGTCTGAGTTATTTAAAAACCAATGAAACAAATTTATTTCCCTTGTTTTTTTCAGATAAAAATTAATAGTAGAGTATGGTAGATCCTTCGAATCAGACAGCAGAAGACACTCTTCAAGAGAAGTCACAAGAGGCTAACGGAGAAGAAGCAGAGTTAGATGAAAATGGAGAGTCGGCTGTGATCGAACCCAATGAACCTCCTAAACGAGTGCTAGTCGCAGAGTCTAAGAAACCATTGTAAGCCGACAGCTTCTAGCTGAGATGTCAAAATAATTTAGTTATTCAATTTTTTGACAAAGAGGCAGAAATTTTTTTTTCTGATGAATATTGTCTTTTTTAACTCAATTTTCCGTGGTAGGTTTTTTATTTCAAAGTTTATTCAACAAAAAAGAACGGAAATGGCTGCGGCTGAATCAAAGTTTTCTTAATAAACTTTGATTTTTTCCCGACTGCGTCTCTTTTTACTCGACAATACGTTCATAACTCGCCTGTGCTGAAGTCGTATGCTGAAAAATTCAATTTTTAGTACTAGTTTTTTCAGTTTTTTGGAAATATATTACTTGGCTTTAGCAAACCCCCCGATGGCCTGAGAGTGAAGGACCTTCCCCTCTCGTACAGAAGCAACAGTCAGAAGGAGGAGTTGATTATAGAGTATGCGGAGAACTTCAGACGCCAGTATGTGCACCTGTACAGGGACAGAAAACCACTGCTTTTATCCCCACTCAACGAGGCCGGAGTTCAGGTAAATTGAGGGTCTATTCCGTTTTATGGCCAAAATGTGATGCTTTTGATTATTTGAAAATTCGTTCATATTGCTTGAATCTGATTGGTTGAAAATAGCCATAAACAGATGGAAGCTGTTTTTGCTTTTCAAATTTTTTTTTTCATTTTTGGGCCGTATAACAGAACAGACCTAAATTGAGAAAGTCCCTGGTAGTATATGCTTATTTAGCTCTTTTTCACCCCCCATCCTTTGAGTTCCAAGTTAAATAACTAAACGTTCAACGTTGTCATAATGCAAAGAAACTTGGCATGGTAAACAACTTAACAATTGTGTTTTCTTCATTATTTTACATCGTAACATCACGCGTTCAGCCATAATAACACGTTATAAGCAACAAAAAAATTAGAAAATTTGAAAGATGGTGGGAAAATGGAAAAGAGCCATTTATTTTAGTTAACTTCAAATAAGATACTTTTCGTCAATTTTTCCAACCGCTGAAAGGCTTCAGGAAGTACATCTTATTGTGTTTTTTATCCGATCACTTTGCATAGCAAATGGAAAAGAACTATGACAAAGCGCGTCTTTTTTCCACGCGGTTTTTTTGTCGGCTTAGTTTCCGCGTTGTTTTTACCGGCCAACTACAACGCTCTTTTCAATTTTATTTATGGTGGTTAGAAGGCTAATACTTTTTAACTTAAAGGTGTAAATTTACAACGGAAATTTTTTTGTTGAAACATTTTTCCACCAATTTTATCACCTTTTTTGATAAATTGATAATTTTTCTTTCAATTATTAAAAATTTTCGTTTCTCTTTCAAGAGGGTAAATATTAATCACAGTTTTCTAGTATTTTTACACGCCAAAACTTTCTGATTGAAAAAAAAACATAGTAAATTTTTTTGCTATAAAATTTTTAATTTATTGGATTTATAGTTTCTGATTGTTTTTGTACTAAAAACGCGTAGAACTAGTCTTAGTTTTATTTAGTTTGATGTGTTGAATGCTTATAAAATGTCATTTGAAATCAATTTAATAGCGTATTGTTTTTATATGTCAAAAATTTTCTAAAACAAATTCATATATATTGAAAGTAATCATAATTTTCCAGAATGATTTTTTTTTACATATTTGATTTCGTACGATATGGTTCTTTCCGGCTGAAATTTTCGAAACATAAAGATATTTCGCGTTTTTTATTTCAGTAACGGGCCTATTTTTTGTTGCAATCGTTCTTATCAACTTTTCATATTTGCTAAGTTTGATGTCATTGGGTTGTTTTTATAGATTTTTGAATTTTTGCTAGATTTTCTGCAAGCTGTTTTTTGTGACACTTTTCTAACTTTTGCAGTCAATTTTTTGAAACTTAGGTGTTTCAATTTCGTTTTTCATTTTAATTTTAGTTTATAGCAAGCAACGGGTAGAGCCTTTTCTTGTCCTCAAGTTTGCCTGTAGGACATGCAGGTTGTTTGGTTGTATGATTTATTGACTTTGTGTAGCATCAATCCTTTTTATGTTTTAGGTAGTTGGTTTCTGTAAGAATTGAAATAAGATATTTCTTCATTTTTAGCCTACGATTTCTTCGATACGATTATTTTCTTACTTTTTTGTTTGAAACCTATCTTTTGAACTTTGGCATTTTATTTGTATTGCAAGTGGTGCGAAGCTCAGGTTCGCCTCTGTGTTTAGTTTATTTTCAATGAAATATGTTTTTCCAAATATTTTAATTGTCAATTCATTTTTTCCTTCTCCGACCTTTTGTTGCCTACGCTATTGTGTTTTAGAAATTCGTGTGTCTAACAGTGCGTCCGACCCTCCTACCCTACAAGGTGTTGTGGGATTACGACCAGGCGGCCGTGTTCGTCTCCGACTACCTCTCCTTCGAGAAACTACCAAATCCAACAGAAATTGTAAATCACAGATATCCTTAACTATTTCCCTCTCTTCTGGGCTTATTTGCGAAGAGTATCCACCGTATAAAGTAGTACTAATTCAATTGTTAATCAATGCGATATTTTTAACTTGTGTTTGTAAAAAAAAATAGATTATCTGACGTGAACAAGGTAGACATCATGCTATGTAAATATTTTTTTACTTAACCAGCCAGAGGCCTAATCCGAAGGTTGCTCATTTAAGGCTAACTAAGCTATGGCTATCTTACAACAGCTCACCTTGTAAATTAGAGCGCTCGTTCAAAATTGAACCCGCAATCATATGTTTGCTAGGCACCGCCACTACCGATGCGCCAATTGATAAAACACACGACACACAAGACTGTTTTTAAAACACTCTTTGTTTTTATAGTCCCTTATTTTGGCTGAAACTATCTTGTTTTTTTTTTCAGCCGGAGAATCTGTTCAGCCCGACTACAGTCTTGAGTCTGCAGAGGGGCAACTGCTTCGACTTCAGTGTGCTCCTCTGTTCCCTTTTGTTAGGCAGTGGCTATGACGCATATGTGGTGTGTGGATATGCCACTAAAGAGACCACTCTCATGGACCAGACCAGAGAACTCTGTCCACTACTCAACAAGTCAGAACAGGTATACATTCTGGCCGAATTTCAATCACCTGGAGACTCCTAAAGCATAACCATCATTAGAGCAATTTGTGAGAGTTACATTAGTATAGTCCAGGAAATTGCTGGTTGGCTTACCACAATTGAGTACACAGATATGCCATCCGTGTATTAAACCAACCGATTCTGAAAAGTGGGAAAATATAAAGTGAGAAAGACGGTTTTTCTTGGAAACGAATATTTCAGGAGAAAAGGGTTTTCTTGGAAAGGAATATTGCATGAAAACAGTTACTCATTCCAGTTAATTAACATTTTGCATCCTTTTACCCTTACGATAAGCAAGGGTTTTGCAAGCGGGTACCAGATTTTTTTTTGTTCCCGTAAATAACTTTATTCACACAATTATCAATTTTGTGGGAATGGTAAACTTGAAGACATGCTCTGTTTCTTTGAAATTCAATTAAAACTAACTTTATTTAGGTAGTAAATAAGTGCGGTCCGTTACCGTGTTTTTTTTTTTTTTTTTTCAAATAATTTTCTCAAAAAAATGTTGAATTTAAGTTTTTTTTTGGGTTTGTGGTTTTCGGCTTAATTTTCGTCGGTTCAATTTCCGTTTTTTTTAATTGAATTTATTTTATCTGGTACTGTTTGTTATCGGGCTACATTGTAAGGCGCGATTTTTTTTAGAATTTTCTTACTGAAAATGAAAGTTCTGTAATTTTTCGGTTTTCCAAGTCCGATTTTTAATTTTTTCTTTGGTTCTTTTTTCGATTAAACGATTTCGGCTCATGTTTTATCGCATGTTTATTGCGTAGTTTTCAGGGCATCAATTTCCTGTTTGACAAAATCAGGTATTATGAAATTGTATTTTTTCTATTTTTATTATTTTTTGAGACGCTTCGATAATTTTTTTCATTTTTCGCTGAAATTTTAATTCAACGCGACAACTTCTTCACTGATTTTCAAAAAAAACTGATTTTCAAAAAAATGAAAGACCTTTATTAACTTGTATGTCTGCATACTTCCATAGTCTCTTTTAACCTTACTCTGCCTTCAAAGGCCTTGTAGTGCTTTTGTTTTTACGCTGAATACTCGTAGCCTGGTACGGCTAATTTTTGCTAAACATCTGGTTGCTGAAGAGACTGGTAAAATCTGATCTCGTTGCTTGCGCATGTGTTGTGCAGTTCGAGCTAAGTTTTTTTTGTTGTCGGGCTAGTTGAGTGGCAATATTGTCTGTTATTTGCTGCATTGCGGTGGTCACTGTGACGGCAATATTTTGCTCAGATCCTCGAAGTTTTTCAAAACTAGTGGAGCATCACGTGTTCTCGGAGAAATTTCATAATTACTTTCATCACTCAATTCAGTAGATTTTTGCCATTCATAATTGCTGTTGCTTAATATTTATGAGTGTGGTATTTCGAGCTGATCCAGTTCGTAGCGCTTTTGATTTTATGCTGAATACTAGTAGCCTGGTACGGCTAACTTTTGTTCGTATTTGGAAAATAAGGAGAATTGAAGATACGCTTCAAAAATCATAGTTCATAGATTGGTATAAGAATGCGTAAAGTGTAGACAGTACCTTTTTTAAAGCTCACAAACGTCTTTTTGTTGCCTCCAGTGGGCATCATGTAGTTTAAAACGCGTAAATGAGAGATCATTTCATTAGGCAATCGAATTGCAATTGTTTTTGGGTGCTTAAACGCATTAAGTGAATTAAGAATAGCTTCTCTTGCCTCAATTAGTACGCATAGGTGGAATAATACTATGGTTGTAAAAACACTTAATTAAAAACAAATTACCGGTATTGAAAGGGGGTGAAATTGTTGTGGGGTCATCTTGTCAAGTGATGATAATATAGAGAGTTTTTTCATAGGGGATTAATTAACACGGGGTTAAAGATAAAACACAAACATTAATTTAATGAACCGACGAAAACTAGAGCGAAAACCACGAATCCGGAAAAAAAAACAGTTGTTACTTGAAACCAATTTTACCTATTTAGTACCTAATAATTGCAGTTTTATTTGAATTTTCGTAAAATAGAGCAGGTCAGCAGTGAAGTTTACCATGCCTACCAAATTGACCATTCTGTGAACCAATTTTTTTTTCCGGAAAAAGTCTATTACACGATTGCAGCACCCTTGATGATCGCAAAATTGACAAAATTTCAGCAAAACTATCACCTATACCCGAGGTCCCGGGGTAGAATTGAACTTGTTGCAGGCGAAGAAGGAGGAGCGAGAGGCTGAGAAGAAGAAGTACTCTGTGAAGCCCCCGAAGGACCTGAGTAGCAAGTATGTGAGGATGATGGAGGAGAGGAGGGTGAAGAAGGAGCAGGAGGAGGTTGCGAGGAGGAAGGCCGAAGATGAGGCCAGAATTGCTGTGAGTTCATTCCTTTCACTCTCAATTTCTGTTTAATTTTGTACTCATGGATAACTTGTCTGGTGATTTTTTACTGTGAGTCGTCTTGGCTGTTTTCCAATTTCCCACCCCTTTGTAAAATTACAATATAAAAATCTCTAAAAAATGACACATCGCTTATTGAATAATGAATTAAGTGTTTTTTCTCCACATTGGCTGGTTATTTATTAGATAATACTTTGTATTGCGTGATTGCATTACTATTCTGGTTTTTCTAAACAAAAACAATTAATTGCACAGCATTTAGTTGTCTCTTTAAAATTAGTCTTCTGCTCCGTCTTGACTCTCGGGTGCACATGTTTGTTTATCTTATCAAGTTCAAAAAAGTGGTTTGTCTCCTTTTCAAATTTAACTTGAATCCTAAAAGTAGTAAAATTTAGATATTCTGGAATACAGTTTTTGTTGCTTGTCAATAAAAGTTGATTTAAATTCAATTGTTAAATATTTCCTATTTTCAATTTACTTCATTTTTTTCAGGTGGAACTTAGCGTAAGACTTGAAATTTACCCAGTCAATTATAGCAACATGCCTCTTTTTTGTTGACTAGATATAAATTAGAGATAATAATTTAGTAATTCTTTTGTGTTGGCCATTTTTTCACCTGGTCAGATTTTAGTCAATTTTATTGTTCACAATTAAACATGGCAATAATTCAATATGGCATCGGTTTCAAGGCTAATTTTAATTGATCTTCGTTTTGACCTTTGTTTCTAGCCCAGTCACAGTCTATCTGACCTCAATGTGACCTCTATAGGGGGTACCACAGGGGTCAATGATGAAAAAGTAGATCATCCCCATTTAGTTAGTAGTTCAAACAGACCTAAAAATAAAAGTGGCTTTCATTTCCAACTCATTTTAGATGTCGCCGTAACTTGAAAATTTCAACTTTTTGTGAAGATTTTTATAGGCGTCTCAGTTCATTTTCCATTTTAAAATCCACATCGTGTTCAAAAATTAGAAAGTACAATAAATTATTTAAATGCTAGAATTATTAGGGCTCTTTTCATCTACCATGTTAGAATATTTTCTTCCTCTTCTGATCATCATCAGCTGATCAAACTTTCCTAAGGAAAGTTACTCTTTGTTTTCGCAGCAGGAAAATATTGACCAGTGGATCCATTTGAAATTTACGGTAAATAACAGAAATGAAAACATTTATCTTTTCTAGGAACTGGAGAAGCCTCCTCCCGATGAGCTAGATGGTCTGCGAGTTCATTGCTGGGTTCTCGTGCTACATGGCAAACGAGAGGTAAGTAATCAAAAATGATAGCTGGGATTTAAGGTCAAGTTAATGTAACCCTCTCCTAGTCTCTTTACAAGCCCTTCTTCAAGCCGGTGTGAGACAAGATTCTCCTTTGGTTCCGGTTCGAATTTATTAAATTCAAGCAGAATAGCAAACATTCAGACTTTTTGGTTTTCCAAGTTTTGTCACAAAATCTGAATCCTGCTTAAATTTACTTGAATATGATTTCAAATACAAATCGCTCAAACTTTTTTTTCAGACGACTAAAAAAGCGCTTAAAAGTATTACTCTATGCCGTAGTTCCGCTAATAACTAACTGGAGTGGCTCGGAACAAATATCAGTTTTGATATTTATTTTGTCCTGAAGGATCCGCAAAATAAATTTTGGTCGGAACAAAAGTTAATTTTGATGTTTGTTTTATGCAGGTGCCGGAGAACTTTTTCATTGAGGCGCTCACTGGCCAGACGTACCCGACTACCCACCCCAACTACCAGGGCATAGAGTCCCTCTGGAACCACAAGAACCACTGGGTCTGCATGCAGATGGGAGCCAATGGATGCAAAGTTGGTGACGTCATTTTTTATAATTGATTTCGACCAATCAAACTACGGCAAAATTTTGTATTAAAGCGGTGAAATAATGACATAACTCCAATGGAAAAAAAATTTTCTCACGCTTTTTTTCAAAAATTGTTTGAATCGTTAGTTATTTACTAGTGATAACATCAATGCATTTCCCAGGCAGGATTAATCATACATCAGTTTAAAATTCTTTTCTCTCCAGCAATATGGGGCAATTTTTAAAGCGAAATTTTCCTTAAGTTATTTCTGGCTGTATGTTTAGGACATGTCATTTGACCTTGGAGACTGTACCAAATGGGAGTTCATGTTCCCCCAGACAGAACAGCCCCAACTGCTAGTTCCCGAGCAGGAGGGCCTCGAGGATCTAGGCGAGGATGACGTAAGCGGGCTTGATTTCAATTACTTGCTAGTTTTCTTGGTATTTCTTGAAGCTTTTGTTTTTCTGAACTAAACACCTCTGGTTGCAGGAAACTAAGGGAAAAAATAACAAGGATGGACGGTTACTGTGCAAGTACACAGAATGATCCGACCATAGTCTTTTAAAAAAGTAGTTTTTTTGCGTGACGTGATGAAAGGATCTGACGTTAAACTGGAATTTAGGCATTTTCGACAGTCATAGTAAAATCAGGCTAATTGGACATAATTTTTTGTAGAACACTGATTGGAAAAACAAAAAAATCGTAAAAAATTTTTTCAATTGTTTGCAGAAATTTGCAAAATGTTTACGTAAAATTTACTTTTCAGGGCTCAAATCAAGCATAAACAAGTTATTGTAAGCCTGCCCGTTCGCTGTATTTGCTCGAAATTGAACTAAAAATTAAAAATTTCAAACCAGTTTTTCTCATTACAGGGAAAACTTTTTGAAATTTTTTTAAATGTCGTTCGAATTACGACAAAAATGACGTTGCGTTTGGTATAGTAATCTGCACATGCCGATAATTAATTGCGGTACCTAATTTTGCACGGGAAAAAAGCTAAAACGCACTCGAATACAAAGTTCCTCCCCATTTTCAATGGTCGGAACAATTCTAAAAAAAAACTAAAAATAGTTAAGTTTTCAGAACGTTTACAGGAATTCAGTAATGAACTGATCAAAAACCATTATTATATTATCTCCCTGAATAATAATTCTAACGTTAATTTTTCAAATTTTTTGAACGTCGTGAGTACTCATAAATAGGTCTTGGTGATTTTTTTGTTTTTTTTTTTCAGGAAAATGTCTTAAAATTTGTTCACGCTCAATTTTGATTTGACGGCGGATTGATTTGGCGGATTGACTTTTGATTTAATTTGAACTTCAGTTAGTTTCCATTGTTAAAAGGAAGGCAAACGCCATTATCGAACAGCAAAAGTGTAAAGGTCACGAAAAACGTGATTAACTTCTAGTTTCGGAAATGGATTTTAAATATCAGACTACCCAGAGAAATAAAAGTTTATCTTTTGATCCAGTTTTTCCATATTGGGTTAGTTTTATCAAAAAAAAACCAAACATAAAATGTTTGTGAGATTCAAAGAGCTTGTTCTAGAGATTCAAAAATGTTCTAGAGATATTTTCAAAATTAGCTTGTTGGAGTTCTGTTTCCTTGCGTTTATTACTCGTCCAACTGTCAGTTGGCTATTTTTTTCGTATTTCTTGCAAAAAAAAAACAATTTCATCGCAGAAGCCACAATTATTTGGGATCCCAACTCATGAAAAAGATGCAATATGGGGTGAAAATCCCTGCGTTTTCTTGCTGTTTTCTTAAAGAAAGAAGTGGCAGACGAAAATTTTATCGAAATTTTACGTATCAGGTTAACTAATCATTCAACTAATGATTCACTATTAAAACAATATGTAAAATATGGATGAAATATTTTCCTTAGAACAAGATCTCTGATCGCTTGCCTCAAACTCGCAATTGATATATTCACTTTTAAGGAGATGAGAAGCTGCTAAATTTTCACTTTGACTAATTCGAAAAAAAGTACATATAGCTTGTAGCTGAGCACCTCGCATCTAACTACTCAATTAATTTATTATTTTGTTCTAACATACTATTTATATTCTTCTTTATCTGACTAGGAAGAGATGTTAGACGAGCGTGAAATAGACCTGCCGCCTTCCTACGTGAACCCAATTGAGATATCGCAGAAGGACTTTGAGAAGAGGTGTCCCAAAGGGATGAAGACTATCCTGTACAAGAAGGCCAAGGTGGAGAAGTATGCAGAGTATCTAGAGAGGGGAGGCATGAAACCAGACGGACTAGTGCAAAAGCTGTTCGTCTACGAAGACAATGAGTGTAAGCTCTAGTTATAATTGTAATAAACCACCTTATCTACAAACTGCCATATCTTGAAGCCGAAACTACAACAGGTTTATGTAAATTACATAAGAATTGCGTAACAATAATGGCAATCTCAATGGCAATCTGTTGTTATGATGGATAATAATAATATTTTTCGCCGGCTTGTTGGAAGGGTAGTCTTGTTTTCGGTTTGTTGGCCAACCACCGCCTTGTTGGCCAACCACAACCATCTTCTTATATAGTTATTACTGTATAATTATTTAGCGAGGCCACTTTCTTTCGGTTTCAGAATCTGAGCAAATTTTTAACCGATAAGTTTTAAGTTGAGGTCAGAATAAAATTGTTGTGAAACTTTGCAAGTCTACTTTTAAGCATGAGCTAGATTTTTTCCCGTAAAACACTTTTTCTACAAATCTGAGGGAATTACGTGCAATTACTTTCACGTACAGGCTGACATGCTTTTTTCTTTGAAAAATCAAATAAACTGCCTTTTAGTACGTTTCAGGCAGAAATTAAGGACCTACTTAACAATCTCCCCCCCCCCCTCCTCCTATGGTACCTACTTAAAAATTTCCACACCTATAAATAAATACAGTAAATTAGCACTGAGTTTTCTATTGTACATTCTAATTTTGCTGCATTCTGATTGGTCGAAAAATCGTACATTTTGATCTTCTTAACAATATCCCCCCTTTCTTGAAAGGGGTGGAGATTGTTAAGTAGATCCGAAATTAAATTTCTTAGAGGAACCTATTGGAAAAAATTTTCACTTTTTGTTCCGACTTTCGATACGAAAGTAACGGAATATTTGTGCTCGGGGTGGGGTTTTTTTTCTTCAGACAAATTTCGACTTTTTAACTAGCCATTTTTGACGGGATTCTTTTATATCATTCAAAAGGTATTGTTGTCCTGAGCTTAAATGTGAAAAGATATTTCACCTGTGATCTTTTTTCGTAAAGTTATGAGGGTTTAAAGATTGCCATTTTGGCCAATTTGGGACAATTAACGCGCGATATAATTCGCGCTAATAACGCGTAAGCGGAGATTTAATCCGTCTTAAAATCGTTCCAAATTGGTTGAACGAAGCTTATTTGCCATAATTGATTTGTTACTAGGAGCGGAATTTATTCTTTTGTACTTTATATGGCGTGTGGGGGGATGATTTTCATGAAAAATTTCAAATTTAAAAAATATATAATTTCGTTTTATTTTATTTCATTTAATTTTTTTTATGTTCTTACTGCTGCTCCATAAACCTTAAAAGGCAGTCGGAACATTCAGGGCTTCGCCCTGATACGAGCAGTCTTGTTTGGTTTGTGGTTTTCGTTTCAATTTTTGTTATCTCGTTTTCCCTTTTTTTCAAGTGCAATTTATATTATCTGGTACACTTTTAAAACAAAACTAGGTTTTTAATTTGATTCCAATGATTTTAGTAGAATTCAAAATTGTCGTACAGTTTTGCAGTTTGTAAGTTTACTCACTCCGATTTTCAATAAATTTATTTGAATAAACTTTTTCGGTTAAACGTTGTCGGTTTGTGTGATATTGGTTTGGTGAACTTAAATTGCGTAGTTTAAGAGCAACCCTTTTTAGGAGGGGTGGGTCATGAAAAATATTGACCCATCTCACTGAAAATTTTGAGTTTCAAAACTTTATAGCTCAATTTTATTAAGACCCCAGTTTGGTTGTCGGCATTGCGAAGTTTGAACCAATTTTTGTCGCCTAAGTTGTCGTTCGGCAAAAAATCTTCAATGTTTTCTACAGCTGTTTAAGAACATCAGCCAAAACAAACGTATTTTGTTAGAAAAGTTTTTGTTAAAACGTTAGTAGCTGAACTTCAGTTGTCGATATAAAACTAATCACAAAACCATGCAAATTCCGAGAGCTTTATGCACCTCATCAGGGCTGGATAAAAATATAATGTATTGCAATAATTTGCAATATATTGCAATAAAATTATTGCATTACCAATTTTTTAGGTAGTAAACTATAGCAATACATAGTTTTGACAGAAAAACTAAAGAACTATTGCAATACCTATTGCTAGCGGTAAATATATTGTGCAATACTTTCACAGACAAACGTCCTGTATTCCGTGTTTACTTTCAGACAGCTGTTTGCCTTTTGTCAGTTTCATTTGTGCTGACTACAACCAGTCCACCTTTTAACTGATGCTAGGGATTTTAGCAGACCGGTTTTTTTGCAGATCGGTTTTTTTAAGCAGACTCAGAACAATTATAAAGTGTAATGGCTAACTTCAAACGCGGCATTGGCAATTAGCGACCGCTGGCTCCGGTGGAATCCCTCGTGCGCGAAGGACCGAATGCGCGAAAATATAAATCAGCCAATCAGATTTCAGAAATCTAAAATTTGGAAAGAAAGTTAACATTTCCAGGAACTGGAGTATTGATATTGGCCGAATATAAAAACGGCAGAAATATGCAAAATTTTCAAATTGTCCTTGACCGCCGCAAAATTGGGAAAAATTTTACATTTCAAGGGTTTCGTAATGAAAGAAGCAAAATATGTCTTCATTTAATTCATTTTAATTGAATGCCAACTGCTTCTTTTTAAAAATTGATTTTCGGCTATTTTTGTCTTTGGTCCTTGGACTACAAGTTTTTTCTCTCATTCGGTCCTTCGCGCATAAGAATTACCCCCCTTGCTCCGCTGCGCTCATTTCAAAACAAGTGTTATTGTGCGCGTAAATCTTTGTTTTGCCGCTAATTTAGACTCTTGTGTTTTTCAAGTTGATAGTTTTGTTGACAAATCGTGAGATAATTGACTTAATTGGGGAAATTTGGCCCTAGACTGAGCGTCTTTTTGAGTCTGTCAATCAATCATTCATCACTTTATTATGTTGGTCTGCTAAAAGACTCATTTTTCACTTCTTATGCTAAAAGATGGGTCTGCTATACAATCGGTCCCCCTTTTAACTGCATTCAACAAAAGAAATGCTAAATGACTTGAGTAAAGAAGTTGTTCATTACTACTTCTTGAAAGAAGTTAGGAGTACAGGTTGCTATCTCGTTTTCCCTTTTTTATCAAGTGCAATTTATATTATCTGGTACACTTTTTAATTAAAACTAGGTTTTTAATTTGATTCCAATGATTTTAGTAGAATTCAAAATTGTCGTACAGTTTTGCAGTTTGTAAGTTTACTCACTCCGATTTTCAATAAATTTATTTGAATAAACTTTTTCGGTTAAACGTTGTCGGCTTGTGTGATATTGGTTTGGTGAATTTAAATTGCGTAGTTTAAGAGCAACCCTTTTTAGTAGGGGTGGGTCATTAAAAATATTGATCCATCTCACTGAAAATTTTGAGTTTCAAAACTTTATAGCTCAATTTTATTAAGACCCCAGTTTGGTTGTCGGCATTGCGAAGTTTGAACCAATTTTTGTCGCCTAAGTTGTCGTTCGGCAAAAAATCTTCAATGTTTTCTACAGCTGTTTAAGAACATCAGCCCCCCTTGCTCCGCTGCGCTCATTTCAAAACAAGTGTTATTGTGCGCGTAAATCTTTGTTTTGCCGCTAATTTAGACTGTTGTGTTTTTGAATTTGATAGTTTTGTTGAGAAATCGTGAGATAATTGACTTAATTGGGGAAGTTTGGCCCTAGACTGAGCGTCTTTTTGAGTCTGTCAATCAATCATTCATCACTTTATTATGTTGGTCTGCTAAAAGACTCATTTTTCACTTCTTATGCTAAAAGATGGGTCTGCTAAACAATCGGTCCCCCTTTTAACTGCATTCAACAAAAGAAATGCTAATTGACTTGAATAAAGAAGCTGTTCATTACTACTTCACGAAAGAAGTTAGGAGTACAGGTTGCTATAAACGCCGATGTGGAACTATGCGAACGCAGAAAGAAAACACCGGTTTCAGCCTTTTGAAAGATCATATTATGAAGTCTCACAGTAATTCCGACAGAGAAATTGTTTCAACCAATAGTTTCACATTGCAAGAACAACTGTTTTCACTTGGCCTATTCGAAATTGTGATTTCTGGCATTTTTAGCCGGAAGAGTTTCGTGGGTACTTGAAACCAATTGTTGATACTTTCATAGAGGGCAGCTGAAAACATATGTTTTCGGTCAACGTACAAATTTGGTTTAAATTTGAAGTAAATACTGTCAAAGTGGTTTTTGAAAACAAGGATTTTAGAAAGTAAAAGCCTAAATTTGGGTTTTATTTGGTTGACTACTGTATATTTCAATTTTTGTTTAAAAAGAAATCAAGGTGTATTATTTATTAAAGAATATGGCTTGGTCCACTTATTTGTAATTAACATAGCCAACTGTCAGTTGGAAAAGAGCAATGAACGCAAGGAAACCAAAAAAAACTGACTCGTTATTTCAAAAACTTTCAACTTTTGAGTTTCGAAGAAAAAAATAGATGGCCTTAAAGTTTTTTGAATTTTTAGAACAATTTATGATGGACATTTTTTAATTAAAATTAATCCCCCAGTTTGAGAAAACTGGATCAACAGGTGAAACTTTCATTTCGCTGGGAAATCTGATAACTAAGTTCTCTTTTCAAAATTAGAAGTCGATCACGTATTCCGTGACCTTTACACTTTTGCTGTTCGATGGTGGAGTTTGCCTTCCTTTTAACAATAGAAATGCACTGAACTTGAAAAGAAATCACTAGTCATACCGCGAAAAATCAAAATTGGGCGTGAACAAATTTTAAAACTTTTTCCTGAAAAAAAAATAAACCAAAAAATCAGCAAGACCTATAAAAGAGTACTCACTACGTTCATTACTCTTAATCAATGAAAACTGTCTTGTCCTGCTTATTACCCTGTATGAACTTCACAATGTTGCTGATGATGTGGATGTTGTTGCAGTTGTTGTTGTGAAGCCTGAGAGTGTGCTAGTAAGTAGCTCTGTAGTGAGTTGTTGATTGACCTTGAGGTCATGGTCGAAGCTTCATCGCCAGTGACCATCTGACTCTCACTGTACTCACATGGGGTCAGAATAGAGGCTTGAGTCACCGCCTGAAGAATTGATATTTGATTTATGAATGTCTAATTTATCAGTCATAACTTGTTTTACTTATTTTTAAATGGTCCGTTGCAGAAAAAATTAGAGTTTGGTTTGTTTAGTTTGCTCAATATGCAAATGTGAGCTGGCATGAGTGCCGTATGTTTCGGGTACTTTGAGTTTCTGGCAACCATATTTTAACACTTTTATTTCAGTTTGTTTTTTTTGAAATGTTTCTTTAATTTTAGAGCCCTTTTTTATTAATGATTTAAAGATTGATTTGTAAATGTCGCTTGAATAATTTTCAGGTATTGTAATTTCGGTGAAATTTCTTATAACTAAATTGCAATCAAATCAGAAAAGTGTGCCCCTTTTACCTGAAGGGAGAGGGCACTGTGTTCTGTGGCCTGGGGGGAGTTGACCTTGCTTAACTCTAATGTCAGTTTCTCAGTGTCGTTCTCAGTGGGCCACGGAGTCGTTATCTTCGTGAAGATTATCCCATACATGTTGCTGTGTTCATTGCACTGGAAACAGTTCAGTTCGTGTTGCGATATTTTGTCGTTTAATTTTTCAAATTTGGGTCTTAAAACGACTTGGTCTTACGCGAGGGAACACCGATTTTCAAAAAAAATGAAAGTTCTTTCGACCTGTTTGAACCGACCGACCTTATTCAGATTCCGAACACTGGAGCGCCCTTAAGTTTGACATAAGTTTCTCTGCCTTAAGGTCATTTTTCAGAGAATGTGCCAAAGTTAACGCTCTTGAGTACTGAGAAATATTAGGCTTGAGGCAAAAATAGACGTAAAGTTTCCACATTTTGTTGAATATTGTCTGCGGCGCTTAATTTTTGGTCCAAATTAGTTTTCATGTGAGCGCAGTTTTTGGAAATCTCCCACTTGTCGGATTCATTAGATATTCAACTTACGTCATCCCTTCTCAGAATTGCGTAATCAATATCCATCCCGGAGCTCCTACAACATCCCTGTAGTGCTGCAGCAGCAGTAGTGCCCACGTGAATAGGTATCTCCCACGCACTGTGGTGTGACCCGGTGCTGACCTTCAGCTTCACATAGTAGGACACTCTGACGTAGTTTCCGAATGTAGCGTGGCCCACTTTCGGGGTTGAAGGGAGGAGGGGAGGGAGGGAGATGGAGAGGGGGACTCTAATTTCTTCATCTTTTTCTGATGCTTCTGCTCTTAAATAAATTTTAAAAAAATTTAACCAGTTAAACTGTTTTTATTTAAATTTTTTGGCGCCAGAATAAATCATGAGGATCTACTTAACAATCTCCCCCCTTTCAAGAAGGGGGATTGTTAAGTAGATTACTTGCAGCGAATTTTCGACCAATCAGAATGCAGCAAAATTTGAATTTACATACAACGCTCTAGTGTGAATTTATTGTTTTTATTTACAGAGGTGGAGATTCTTTGGGTGATACAATGGGGGGGGGGGGGTTGTTAAGTAGATCCAATCATGATACTGTAGGACAGGGGCGGATTTATGGGATTACTCGTGATAACATTATTCGTGATAACATCTACTAACTTGATGTGTTGTTTGACCTTGTATATCTGCGTGTTCTTCAGTGGTGCGAACAGGGCATTGGTGGCGTCCTTGGCCATGTTATAGGCAACTCTCTGGTAGAGAGCCAAGCTGATCTTCTTCAGTTTCTTTTTCTTACTCCCGCCCCCCACGCTGTACACCAGCTGAAAAGCAAAACTTAATCATTGCAAAATAAGACACTTAAACTTAAGTTATAATCCTTTTCAAGATTTACATTGAATTTCTTTTGTAATTTTCCGAACTGGATTGTGTCGTCTTTGAGCAATTTTGCCTCGCCATTTTTTGTATTTCACCTTAAAGCATGAGGAAGGATTTTATTGTGTCTACTTAACAATCGGTCCCAATTGTATCTACTAAAGAATAAGAATCTCTCCCTGTAAATAAAAACAGTAAATTCGCACTAGAGCTTTCTAGTGAACATTCTAATTTTGCTGAATTCTGATTGGTCGAAAATCCCCCTCCTTTGTTGAAAGGGGAAAGAGATTGTTAAGTTAGATGCGAAGGATCTCAAGAGAGATGAAACCTTGATTGACAGATCCTCTCCGGGCCTCAACTCGGGGTTGTTCACTCTGATTCCCATTTTGATGCCGCCTGTCTCGAACAGTCCAAATGTCTTCAGCCTCTTCTCTATCTTCATCACTCTGAAGTCATCTTCGTCTATGATGACAGGTGTCATTATCTGAATGGGCAGGTAGCCCTTCAGCTGTTCATTTGAGGTCAAATCAAATCCCACAAGTCTATACTCCACCTGGAAGATAACAATGTTACCCTCTCCGATATTCAGTTTGAAATCTTCAATCTTAATCTTTTATTAATGATCACAAAATTTTTACCGTAGAGATCCTTTCTTAACAATTCCTATGGTACCTAGAAACGAATTGTCCCCTTTCCCGAAAGAATAGAAATAGACATTTTAAAAAATCTATCTCAATTTAATAGTTTTTTCCTCTCAGGAGCTGTTTACTGAAATTGTCTTCGATTTTTTCATCGAACATTTTTGACGTCATTTCACACATCTTCTCTTTCTCAACTAGTTTTTGACGTAGAAAATATGAGAAAAAAGTTCAGTTCTCCCCCATCATACCCCTCAAAACAAAAAATAAAATACTCGAGATTAAGTTTCAAAAACAGGTTCTAAATTTTTGGACTGATTACCTGCACGTGGTCATCTCTGAACGACATCGGAAGCGTCTGTCCGTTGATGTTGTCGGGAATGATCAGTTCGAAGATGTGTTTGCCCTGCATGATCTTCGCCTCTGTCACCACTACGGGTCCTAAAGATCAGTGAACACAAAATGCAATCAATTTAACCTTTACCCTAAATCTAAACTTAACAATTCTCCGGAAAATTGACGCCGAAATTTTTTTTTCAAATCTGACCACAATTTTTTTGTGATTTATTGCTCTTAATTCAAGTATGGCTTAGCATCGCTTCGGCATCTTTTTGTTCCCACCATCGGAAATGGGTAGGAACTTTGTATTGGGGTGTTTTAGTTTCTTTTTCTTTTTTTCCTTGCAAAATCAGGTACCACAAATAATCATCGGAATAGTTCAAATGATATATCATTTAAAATCCCTTTCAGTCGTGAAGTTTTGAAAAAAACTTTTTGTATTTTTTAAGGCTTTGGTCGGAACATTCTGTGTCACTTGCACAGAAACTGACTATCCTTGTTCCGTTTGGATTCTAGAAAACACGACAAGCAGGTTCCGCAGTGCGATAGAATCCTGACTTTGACAAGTTGATTTTAAATGCAATTATACATTCCGCATTTCGATAAGAATCATTTCAAATAGTGCAAATAATGACATTTGAGACAGAGAAAGCCTAAAACGTATAATTTATTCAATTCGTTCTCGGACTGGATTTGTCGAAGGATCTTGAAAGTGAAATCCTTAATTTGACCATAAAATGTAAGAACAAGTTGTAATTCCAGAAATGCAAGCTTTCATTGAAAAGAAAGCGTGTGTTTAAAAACCAACTTTTTCATGTTTTTTGTTGAGTTCCGTTGGTCAGTTTTGGCAGGATCCGGGTGAAGGTTAACTCCTGGTCCACCATCGCCCCTCGAGTGCTACTATCGCCTTTTACTATAGTAACCCGGGTGGTGGATCAAATTGAGAAACTTAGCTTTTTCTAAACTCTGCCTTCGGGTGGAGTCCACAAACGAAGTAATTTAAATGCTCTAGTACCTGGTTAGCAACCAATGTTTGAATCAAAATGCATGGAGATAACTCTTCGGCCGCATGAAATTCGAACCATGGATTAAACATTCTGCGTTAAATTAACCTTGGGAGAATTTTTGTACCTTGTTAACTATCCCCCCACCCCTATTGCAATAGGGAGGGGGGGGGGGGATAGTTAACAAGATCCGAGTTTTTTAGTGAACCTTCCACTCAGGCACAACAGCACTCCGCTACCTGCAGAACTTTGAAGATTTTGCAAAGTTTGGCACATAGGAACAATTTACTTCTAAATTTAAATGGCAAATTTGAGAGCAGCAAGGCAGAAAATTTTACATTTTTCGAAGTTTTTGGTTCCCAAAATGAAGCTAAAAACTCTAAAAACTAGTTTTACTTGCTTAAAATTAAATTTTATGTCTTAATTAGGCATAAATTAGCATTTGTAAGCCTGCTCGCTTGCTTTATTCGCTCGAATTAAGAGGAAAAATTAAAATTTTCAAACCGGTTTTTTTCGACACTGGGAAAAGTATTTGGAAACTTTTTTATGTGGTTCGAATAACGACATGATATATCACTCAACCCAGTCCGATGATTATTTGGGGTGCCTGATTTTGCGTGGAAAACAAAAAAGAAAAAACTAAAATACACCCGAGTACAAAGTTCCTTCCCATTTTCAATGATCGGAACAAAAATACGCGAAGAGTCTATAAGAGGAGCTTGCTAGTGTATAATGCCGATGATGAGTGTAGTGCTGTTTTAAATAGTTTCACCTTGAGTGATGTGTGTCTTTCCGCTGTTGTAGTTGGCAATGAGCAGCAGTGAGATTCGCATGTCCATCTCCGGTTCAAATTTGCCAGCTATTGTATTCCCAGGCCAGAATACTGGGTGCACCTGGGGGCAAGAAATTTCATGTCTTTGTCAGGGTTTCGAAATCTGACTACCCAAAGCATCCCTCTTTGGCATTGTTTTACGACACTGTTTTTATTTTTGGTCGAGTTTTGATTTAAGTATTATCAGAAGCTCTTTTATCTTGCCCCCCCCCCTCCTGGCATTAACGCCTAATTTAAGGTAGCTTTTGAGTTAACAAGGTTAAGCAAATCAATTTGAAGAGGCCAGAAAAAATCGATCGAAAATTTTGAACATCTCGAGCAGTTTTCCATTCAAAACCATGTATCGCCCTCGTTCTTCTAAAATTTAGAAGTTTGTTCATACAATTTTCAGGTGATTTCAAATCAGTTTCCATAATCTGTATCCAGTACGGGAAAAGCAATGATTGATGATGTAAATAATTTTTTTGCTATTTTAATTAGAAATGATAAATCTTTAAGAATCTTGGCTAAATCTTTACGAATTTTTTCTCAAAGAATCTTTGAAAGTATCAAATGACGTTCTTGTATTCTTAATAATCATACGAAACACTTTTGGAACACTTTTTGAACCGCTTGTTACCTTTTCAACTGAGAAGCTCAGTTCTCCATAATAGACGGGGGCTGTGGGAGTGGCATAGGCTGTGAGAGTTGTCAGCACTCCGTTCTTGTACGACGACTCAACTGACATTCTAAACAAACAAGTATAGCATGTTGCTGTGCAAATTAGCAACCAATGTTATCATAATCATCATCGTCAAAAAGTTGAAATAATGTTGATTACGCTTGCTTTTAGCACGCGTTATCAAATCGGAATATATACTTTTTTTCGGGTTAACAACTAGCTTAACACAAAATCAGTTGAATCACTTATGATGCTGATGTAATGCTGACATACTCAATTTCATGAAAATTGAGATTTAACTAACGGGTACTAGTTAGTACTCATGCTATATCTAGATCTCAAACCATTGTAAATATAATATAGAGTTTTGAGTTTAATTTTCTACTGATTGTTTTTTGGCTTCATGGTTGTCGACTAAAGCTCCGTTCGTTTAGTTTGCAAACTGTGTAGTCTAATTTGCATAAGCTACCTATATAGCTATCGTGCATCCTATATGGGGGTTACATGAAATTTTTTCCTATATGTTTTTTTAACAAAAATTTGCGGCTGCTTTTCAGCTTATTGGATGTCGGTTTCAATTCTGTCGGCTTTTTTTACCAATTTTTTCAGTAAAATATTCGGTAGTACTTTTGAGATCTGGCACCAATTTTTGTATGCCCAAACTCAAACTCACTAGGAACTCTTTGAAAAACTTAAATGAATTCAAACACAAGAAAGCAGCTTTTTTTTTCTTTTTCCTTCTTCAGTTTCCGACAGAAATTTTTTAAGTATCTGAAAGCTTTTGTCTTAAAGAAAAAAATCACCCGAGATTGTTTTTAGTAGAGTCATAGGCCTCGAAAATTGCTTATTTGGTCAAATCGAGATAATTGAGGGGAAAGTTATTGCGTTTTTCTAACACACGTAAGCGGCGTATTAAATCCAAATTGAATTGAGGCTAGTCATTTTGTCATTATTTCAAGAGACGCTGGTAAAATCATCTCAAAAAATATATGAATAAAATTTTTTTTCTATTTTTAATTAACATTTAATCAATTTTTCGACCAAAATTTTTTTAATTGGCCTGAATAGGTATTCAGAACTTTCGTTCTGATATACGAGCAGTCTGATTTCCTTCTCCGATTCATTTTTTAAAACAGGCCAAAGATTATACTACTTCAACGTTATACTTATACCATTTTTCAAATATATATGAATCCAAGAGTCTTTCCGTATCCAAGGACATTTATTTTGTTAAATCAAATATTTGATTCAACCTCGTAGTAATTTATGTTTTTTCTTGTTATGTTATATAACCATTGCGTAATATTGTACACTAGATTCTTATACAATCAGTTCTGCAACTGCATAAGTATATTGAAACAATAAAGTGTCCCCTCTCTCTCTCTCTCATATATGTGTGAATAAATGCATACCAAAATTTTAATTCTAATAGTTAGTGACAATGTAACTGAAAAAATATTTTTTTTTGTTAAAAAATTGGCCTACGGTATAGGTCTCACTGGTCGGCGTGACATAAACAGATGATGTTGAACTTGAAAGAAGAAAGAATTCTTAGTTGATGCGATTAGGTTCTTTGGTAGTCCAGATTCGGCACGAGTTGTTTAGTTTGGTTTCTGCTTGGTCGTTATCAACAAACAGTTGACTTCCAATTTCATCGATGACATGTCAGAAGTCAGGACTGTAGATATCATGACGTCATAAGCTGTTGCAGAATTACCAGACAATCGATATTCAGTCAGATAACATTTTCTCAAATCTCCGAATTTTGGCTCTTTTTCCTTTTTACCCCCACCTCACACGAGCTTCATTTTTTTAGTGTAACGAGTGGTTTTACGAGGTTGAGTATGAAGACCAAATATGTTTGTCGTGGCCTTATTAGTCTGTATGTAAATTTTCATAACAATCTGATAAAGTGGTCAACAAATTTAAATGTAAAAATTCGCAGGTGGGGGGGAAAAGGAAAAAGAGCCCGAATTTTTCCTCGATTTATTTGCAGTCTTAACTAACTTCAGCATTCTTTTACCTTATTTAACAGTTTTTTTCAAAATCAAATTATCAAATGGTAATCTGATGTAACTTTCGTTGAATATCAGAATTCCAACGCCTTCTGAAATTTAAACTCAAAGAAACCATGTAGTATATACTGACGTCCTCTAACTTTTGCACCTTTGACCTCTAATATTTTTATGTTGATTGTTGTTGTTTTTGTTGTAGGGGCGCACTGTGTGAGTGTGAAGGAGTGGTACAAACACAGGAAGGATCTCCTGTTTGAGCGGGAGAGTGACAAGACCACTGGACACGTCACCGAACACTTCTACCCCGGCAGACCATCCGCCATCAAAGGTCACCCGCCGTTCATTTAATTACTACACTTTTTTTCTGAAGTGGTTGACCTCTTATTAGTAACTGCATGCCGTTTCTTTTGTGGTAACTCAGAAGAGTCTAAAAATAGCGGCAGATTGTTCCGCGAATTGCCGAAGATTTTTGTGCCTATTCTAAAATCCACTTCGTGTATCAAATCCTTTACCATAAACGTTCCCCGCTCAACCTTCTGAAAGATCTGGAATTACCACAATTCTAAGCAGATTTTGCTCAGATTTTGAGAAGTTTTTTATGAGGTTTCTCCTTACTCGGACCTCTTCCCTTCAATGCCTTCTGGAAGATCCAAAAACAAAAGCAATTTACCCCAAATTTCTGCCGCAACTAGAAAATGTTTTTTTTTGAAATTCTCCACGAATTACACTTCTTTTCAATAGTATTTTTGAAGAAATCTCTTTTTTTGCGACTGTGAAAGCATCACATGTAACTGCAGTTCCGTTTTCCGAAAGCACCTTTTCGAGTATTATTCGATGCAGTTGCGATGCACTTGTTAATTCAAGTATGAAGATTTGCAAAGGTCAAATGTTTCAGTGGATCCATTGTTTTTTCAGTTACTCGTCCGACTTCATTAATCGCTTATAAATTTGCTCGCTCTAGAAGAACTGATTTAAAAATAATATTTTTTGGTTCCTTCCTGTATAATTAATTAAACATTTATTTGACGTATGAAGTGATATATTTTCATCTTTTACAGAAACGGGTTCTGGTTCGATATTTATGTAGATTTCTCACCCTTCAGTGTTTTACCTTAGTTACCATCTATGTAACAAGACTTATGATTAACCAGATAGTTCAGTCAAATAAAATCACACAATTAAAAAAGAACATTGATAACGGGAATTATTTGTTGTGCAAATAAAATTTGAAGTATGGTTATGACCAACTTTTTGAAGGTATAAGTTTACTATTTGATCCTGGCTTCTTAAGAACAGTAGATATGTGCGTTTAAGGGCTTGAAACGCACATTTCAGCTGTTTCTAGGCCTTCCCTTTTCATTTTTAGAAAAAAAAACAATTAGTTCATACATTGATTTTTTTTGACGCCACGTCCCAGACATTAAGCTTTAAAAAATAATTATAGTTTTTTTTCGCTTTCGTTGAATTTGTGGAAAAGTAATTTGTGTTGGAGTTTCTGTCACGAAATATTTTTGTAACGGTCATTGAAAATGGGGAGGAAATTTGTCTTCAGGTGTGTTATATTATTATTTCTTTTGTTTTCCATTATTTTTTAAAACTTTTTTCCAATCAAAATCAGATACCAGAAATAACCATCAGAATGGGTTGGGTGATTTTCCATAATAAATCTCCTTTAGTCTAGATTCGAACAACGATTGAAAGATCCCAAAATTTTTTCTCAATGTTGAGAAACGCCTGGTTTAATTTTTTGCCTTTTAGTCTTATTTCAAGAGAGTAAAGCGAGGGAGTAAATGTTGTAATAGGACAACCAGCTTTTATTTAAGGCTTTAAAAACTTAGTGTCACTTTTTTTAGAGTTTTTTTTATTTTTTCTTTGATTAATCATTTTTTCAAGAAAGACAAATGTATGCCTAATTCACTAGTGCTCATCAGGGGCGGATTTAAAGGAGGACGGACGCCCCCCCCCCCACCTCAGGGATTTGATCTCCTGCCGACCCAAAGGGTCCCCCTTTGAACTATTTTGAGACATCCATTTTTGGCGGAATCAATTTGCTCGACATAAAAAAAAGATCGATCCGCCTCCTGCTAGTGTTAGAAGATTTTGTATAGGTCCTTTTATCTTATCACGCTCGTAAAAAGATACGTTTTGAAAATTAAAAATTTTATTTTTTTTTCATATCAAGGTGATTGGAGTTTTCTCTTCTACTTGCACTGCAACTGGTTCTAGGGCTCGGTTCCCATAGAGGAAGTTTTTTTAGATCTCATTTTTTTTTGCTTTTTCTTTTTTCCATTTTTAATGTTTCTTCTGGGCGCTTTTTTGCTTGTGTTTGCGAAGTGCTGCTTCGCTTCTGTGTTATATGTTTTGATAGCCATAACCATTCATTTTTGTACTCGCGTAACTGTAGACGAGTTTTTAAATGTCATTCACGAGTTCCAATCCAACCCCCCTACTGAATCCCCCCTTTTTTCCAGACCACTCTTACCTGTCCATGTCTCCCTACTCGCCCGAGACAGACAGGACGATGTTGTTCTACGAGAACGTGAGAGTGGACGGACTCCTCAAGAGAGTCGAGAAGACACTTCAGCTGACGGAGGAGTACCAGAAAAGACCCGATAGACTGTACTACAGGAATGTCACTTTCGGAAGGAGAGCAAAGACATTTGCACCCAGTGAGACTAAAAACTCAAGACCCATTGAGGTAGGAATTCGATTGTGTAGTATAGTTAGTGCCAATTTGTTGGCAAAATCTGTTTGTTTCAATAAAAGTGAACAAAGATGACTCACCTAAAACTGCTTTGGAGTCTGAATTTCGGCGTTGAAAATTATGTTCTAAAATATCATTTCCCCCGCTCGTAAAAATTGTGTCAAAGTTCTAATCAATTTAAAAAGCATGGTTATGTTGCTAATTTAAAAAAGGTCACCGATATTGCCCTAACTATAAGTGAGCACAGAGCTTGATGAAATATTACGTGTCTAAAAACATAAATGACCTTTCAAACGCCGTTTGATAAATCTATTATGTTTTCTTTATTATAAGCGCTTTTTAAAAGTTCTTTCATTTTTGCTCGGGTTCATTTGCAAAAGTCGCAGTTAAGATCATCATCATAATAATAGCAATTTTTGTTTTAGTAGTAGCTTTTGAGAAATCTGAGTTCAGTTATATGAGGCCTTATAAAAAAGAAAAAGACTCAATTTGTCACTTTTTTGCCTATCCCATTTTCTTTTAAATAGTAATTGAAAAATAGTGCTCAGAAAACACAGGCAATTTGTACCTTCCAACAGGTAAAATTCGTCTGATTTTGAACTAAATACGTTGCATAACAAATTTTCGGATTTCCTGGAAAGATGTGAAAACTGAAAACTTTTTGAAAGTTATCTCAACAAAAGATGTGATAACTTTCAAAATATGGGCAACATAAAATTGTTGGTCGTAAAAACCAGATAATTTTAATTTTGATTTTCAAGATCCATGGGATGATTTTATTATGTATGTAATTTATTTGATTTCTGCTTCCACCTTAAAATGGATTTTTTTTATAATTTACTTCAGATAATCGTAGAAAAATATTCGCGAGACCCTTCAGTGAAGGCAGACGAGGACATAGCCGAGTTGATCTTCCACATAGGAGAGGAGAGGATACTAGTCACCTATCACAGAGACGAGAACAGAATAGCCCCCTCCTACAGGGAGTTCACCAAGTCAGGCCAGACAGACGACAAGACCAGTGAGCCCATACTGGGGCCAGAACACGTCACCAGCTTCCAGGTGAGATTCTGGATGTATTGGTTTTTTGCCTAAAAGTGATACGCAACAAGGCCTGAGAAGAGCAGATATGAATTTTTTTTAGCAAATAATGAACGTTTAGGATTGAAAAGTCTAGACACAATTATAATAATTGTGGAGAAATAATTTCAATTAAATATATATCGCAATATACTTCTTTTACGGCCGTGGTACGGCGGGTGTGCCTTCCTTTATGTAAGGTAACGTGTTGTGTATTGAATTGATTATAGGGGTCATATTGTTAGTCTGAGTGAGTTGATGATTATGTCAAGGCCGGTACTTGCCGACCATGTTAATGTTCATTGCTGAATGAAAATCACTCTCTCGTTATCTGGTGAAAGATACAGATATCTCAACATTGCTTTATTAACCAATTCACATTTTATTATAATAACTTTCGTAACTAAGAGTCTGTCGGTTAACATCCCACATGGCGCAGCCAGCAGTTTCGGTCGGCGAGGACCGAACTGACCTTATAGGGGTACCAGCGTTCGGGCCTAAACCAACAACAGAACCTTTATTCACATGGGAGTCATGGATCGGTCAATTCTTTCTAGCTGTAAACTTAAGAGAACATTGCAATGCCAATATCCTTCTAAGCGAACCAGCTGAAGTCCAAGCTAAAATCCGCAAGTCAAAAATGAAATCAACAACGAAAGAAGAAAAAAGGACCAAAAATCGGCCCAAATGTGTATTCTTCTCCCTATTCTTGATTCTTGCAAAGCCACGCTCACACAGACATCGCAACTATCAGTTTCTGCGACTTTTATAATCATTGCGAGGCACCTTTCAAAAGTGACAAAAACTATATAATCGAAAGATTAAACCTCTACAACACCCAGCAACTAGACGGAGAAAGTCTAGAAACGTTCTTTCTGAGACTCTCGGGTCAGGCCGCCCAATGTGGTTGGGCACTCGAAAAGAAGAAGGAAGTTGTCCATGACAATTTCATAGCTAAGATGAAATTCAAAGATATCCAACGTGACCTTTGCATAAGACCAGGCAACTCTCCAGAAGAAACACTAAAATCAGCTCTTCTTCAATAGAAAGGATATGTCACTGCTTCTACTTTGCAAAAACAGATGGGTCTATCAGGACCATCTAGCTCTAACTCTAACTTCGGTCAGAACCACCCAAACTTGTTAAAAATAAAACAGGAACCAACCCTATCAGTTCAGCGAAAAAACAACTTTCAGAAAAGAACTAATCGAGCTCAAAATCCAAGAGGAAAACCCAACAACCGACCTAACAACACCCAACAAAGAGATAATAAATCTTGTTACTTCTGCGGGAAGGAATTCTTCCCGAATCACAAACTGTCATGTCCAGCAAAGAATGTGATATGCAAGAACTGCAACAAAAAGGGCCGTTTCGCCAGATGTTGCAACTCAAGGAGCGACGTAGGGATCGTAGATGATGACTCTGAAATTACAGCCGAAGAAAATGCGACTTCATCGCCTCGGATAGTGAACCGGAATATTCGGTACTGAATATATCCCCTTCGGTCGGAAAAACCAACCAAGGCCAAAAACATGAATGTGCAGTAAAAAAACTAGAAGTCATTAAGCCCGCTACGGGGAAAACTAGATGTATACAAATCACACTGAGAGTCAAAACATTTTTTAAAGCTACCATAGATACAGGTAGCCCGGCATCTTTTATTAACAAGAAAACCGCAGATATCCTATTAAAATCTGGCGCCAACGTCAAATTATTTTCAACGTCGGAATTGCCCATCGACACCCACTATGTCGATTACAACAGGAGGACAATCAAGTTATTTGGTACTCTAATGGCAGACGTATCTTCTCTGGGTTGGCAGATAACTTCAGCGAAATTTTTGGTCTCTGAAAACCGCACCAGATGCCTGCTGGGTCTGGACCTTCAAAGTTCTTTAGGGTTCGAAACCACCCAAACAAGACCAACACCTATCAATGAAATCTCATCTCCACCAACCGACTCAGCCAAATGAGCAATAAACAAAAACTCGTATGGGGAACGGATCAGCAAAAAGCTTTTGAAGACACACTTCTCCTAACCTCAAACATAACAAAGATGTACCATTACGACCAGAAGAGGAACTCTAGGGTGAAATGTGACGCCAGCCATAGCGGTCTAGGCGCAGCTCTGGAACAAGAATTACCGGACGGTTCCTGGGTAGAAATATCGTTTGCCTCAAGATTCCTAAATATTCAGGAAAAGAAATACAGTACTAATGAATAAGAATTACTCGCAATAGTTTGGTCATGCGAACGTTTCAGAAATCATTTACTGGGGAACACATTTGATGTCTTAAACGACCACAAAGCTATTATTTGCGCCTTTCAGTCAAACCGAGGCAACAAATCATATCAATCTCGCCTGACCAGATGGGCAGACAGACTTTTACCTTTCGATTTCAAAGTTACACATGTTGCCGGTACAAAATTAGGTATTGTCGATTACTTGTCTCGCCATCCTACTTTCGAAGCCCCCCAACCATCTAGCTTCGATGAACAATTCGTGGTAAAGTCCATCCAAAACTTCTTTTCAGCTTGTGCAACAATAGATAATCTTTACAACAAAGAATGCAATTATGTACCTATTCCTAATCCTATTCAGTTTTTATCAAAAAATACCTCTTGTATAAACAACATTTTGTATATAGATAGGTCTCTTCAGACCATGGATGTCAATACTTGTACATATCCACAAGAGGGCGTCGAAATTTTAACCAGTAACTCCAACCACTCAGGGAAGATGATTAATTGCAAATCTACACCGCAAGGGGGCGGCATTAATTTATGCACAAATTTGAACCAATGACAATCGAGAATACGCTATTACGTGCGCTTGCCACGAGAGGGCGCAGTTAATTTATGCACAGATTCTGACCAATAACAACCGAGATCAAGTATTCACTATCACGAACGCTCGCCACGAGAGGGCGCAGTTAATTTATGCACAGATTTGAACCAATCAGAACCAAGGAAATAATTCAAAGTACATCCTCCGCGAGAGGGCGCCGTTAACTTATGCACACTAAGCGACCAATCAGAATTCGAACGTCGTATTCATCGTTCCGGCAAAATTTTCAACCATTCTATTACTTCCTTTAACAAAACCCAGTTCCTTCCTGTATCTATTTGTACATCAAAACCATCTGTGCCAATTTAAAAATATAATACGGACATCAGTGGATCACCGAGTAGCAAAAAATTTCAATTTTAGATATGCTGAATGCTTCAGACGATCCTATCATGGAAGAACGTTTCCGGAGGTTATTGAAGGAATTCGCTCCCCTCAGCAGAATTCCCCTGGGTCGCTCAAGACCAGCACGCAGACAACAAGCAAGACGGCCACGAAGAATGTCATCAGCGGAAGCAGGCGACCGCCGGAAACTCAAATATGCTACCATAATTGCGAGCTTCCGAAAACAGAAGATGATCCAAAACTAAGCGACCCACCAGACAAGTGAATCGAGTCTCGATTGAGCAAAGAATCGTTGCCAGGGACAAGAAGTCGCTACTGGGCCTAGTAGGAGTTCTGGACGCCGAAATCCTCAGTGAACTAACTGACGAAGATGTGACCCTCAGACTTATGAAAATTGCAATTAGGAACAGAGATTACGAAGGATTCGCCAGGATAGACCCTTACATCAAGACCTTCTGGAATTCGGCAGCGGTGATTGATAGCTGCATAATCATAGACGACTGGATTGCAGTTCTATCGCGGCTGCACCGTTTGCACCCGGGACTGTGGTGGCCGATAATTCATAGAGATATCGTCAACTTTTGCAAAAACTGCAGAGAATGTACAAAATTCGACGAACAGAATTTGGAAAGGGATCTTTTGACAGCCGAGGAGAGAAGAGAACTTTGTGAAAGCAGGCTTCGAGTCAAGGTGGTCAAGAAGGACCACCAAAGCAGGGATACCTCACCCAAACCCAAGTTGGAATCCACCCAGATCGCGAATACACCCTACTACAAATCTCTAGAACAACTCGCGAAATCGGCGAACGAGTAGATGACCTGGAAAAGGAAATTGTCCCATGAAGAGGGTTGCCGAGCTCTCCGTACTTTATCGGAGAGAAATCAGCTCTTAGCGGCCTCCCTCAGAAATAGTCTTACAACGGGGACTCTCAGATTCAGACAGTACGCCTCAGATTCGCCAACAACTATTACTAAATGTAAACTAGTCCTTGCTTTTATCTAATCCGAACTCAGTCGAAGTATTCAGGAAAGTGGCGAATCGTAAATCGGGAAAACAATTATTTAAGTGCTTTGAGGATAAAATTATCAGAATTACTCCTTCTACCTATATTACGGCAGCGGGTAAAGTGATTAGGAAAAGTGATATTTCGTTAAGACTTAAAAATCCACAAGTTTCAGGTCACCAGGGACCCAGCAAACCACTCTTGGGGAAAAAGTTGAAGAGACAGAGAAAATTCTCCTCCTCGTCCTCCTCTGACGAACCTCTGGTTCCGAGAGCTAAGGCACAACAGAAACAGTTGACAGCTACAACTAGAATGGATACTCCGACAGATCCTAAAAAGGGGAAATTCCGGGCAATCGCCCCCAACGTGATCAGATCCAGCACCCCAATTCAAACACCCAGACCTGCAATTCCAGTTGACGACCTAACGAAATCGTCTTTCAGTTCAGGCGGTATTATCAATCCTCCGGTAGCGACGTCATCAACGGTCGCTCAACCCTTGTGCTCGAAAGCTGTTCCGATATCTATCAGAGTGGATGAAAGACCACTTTCGACCAGGAAGGTAACGATACAACCAGGCGCGGAAGTAGTATCGGATGCCACAGGTCTACAACCGGTCTCCTCCGAAGACGATCATGCGACAGAATTAAATGTCACACCCCAGTCCTGCTCTTTGTCAATCCTTAAGCAGACACCAGAAAGCAGCCCCAATAAGACGCCAACTTCACCACAGAAAATACTTGCTAAGGCCACAGAAGATCAAGATGGGAACGAATCCTCCTCCTCGGGAATCCTCCTCCTCGGGAACAAAAGACAGACACAGTTTTATGGCAGCCCCATACGACATGCGGTCAAAGAAGTCTCAGAAGCATCTACACCTGGCTTTTCGGGCGGACTGACAGTTCCGGTTTCTCCTGTAGAGCTATCTTCGTCGCCATCACCAAGAAGAAAAATGAAAGTATTTAAAAAGAATAAAGTGCAGCCTCAAAAGTAGAAGACCCAGCTAAAACAATCTTAAAACTCTTACTTAAAACTCTTTTGTTGTAATTGAATTTCTGTTGATCAGAAATTTTTGAAGTGGGGCAAGTGTGGTACGGCGGGTGTGCCTCCCTTTATGTAACGTAACGTGTTGTGTATTGAATTGATTATAGAGGTCATTTTGTAAGTCTGAGTGAGTTGATGATTATGTCAAGGCCGGTACTTGCCGACCATGTTAATGTTCATTGCTGAATGAAAACCACTGTCTCGTTATCTGGTGAAAGATACAGATATCTCAACATTGCTTTATTAACCAATTCACATTTTATTACAGTAACTTTTGTAACTAAGAGTCTGTCGGTTGACATCCCACAACGGCGTATCGTAGTCAGCGAACTAGTACGGCCCAAAAGTCTATCCCAATTCAATTGAAGTACATGAAAATAATTCGTTAATATTAGCAACGCTTATCATTTTGTACTAGCCAATGCATGGGAGGTAAGGTTTTTTATTGAACGTTATGAAGATATGCCTTAATATTTGATTATGCCAATTTAGGCTTACGTTATACAAATTCATTAGCTAAAACATAGGCAAATTACGCTCTTTAAATAAGAATGTAGAAGTAGGGCAAAAAACGTGACTGAGTATTCGTTCGAAAGTTGATTTTAAGATTTAATTTTCGCTGCGGAAAAAGTGTTGATCTTAAGATATTGTTGAGCTTCAACGTGATATATTTTTTCCTCGGATTTTGAAAGTTTTACTTGAACTCTTTGACACTATTCCAACTGTCTGTTGGCTGTTTTCTTTTGAAAATTTTATTAATTTTGTGAGAAAAATTACATTCGATAGTATTTAATTTAAATTCGACTTTTCTGCCATTTTCATCTTTATTTTTTTGTAATTTTTTTTGCAGTAAACAACTGTAAGCAAAATATTCATAAAATATATGTGTTTGTATTAATTTTTATTGCTAAGATTGAAATACAATCAAATTAATATTTACCGTATCAGGGCCAAGCAATCAATGTGTCGACCGAACTTCAATGCGTTTGAGGACTTTTTCGAAGAGAAAACGTTGAAGTTTTTTAATATATTTCATGAAAATGTTCGTCGACTTTGCGCTGCCAAGATTTGATTGGTTTATTTTCAGTGTTTACCGCCTACTCCACACTTACTATTTGACGCATGTTGCTAATTGTCTTCTCTCGTTATCGGTTACATAATAGTCGATTTCAAGTTTAGTTAATCCATCGTTTTTGGTGCCGTTAAACAATTATATTCAGTGTCGTTCTTTTTTTGGTTGAATCAAATGAATATTGCGTAAAGCTAAATGATTTCAAGGTAAAATTGCGTGTTTTGTCTAAAAAAAACGACATTCACAAGAACGATAAAAGTCATATTTGTTTCTGACACCTCTTGTTTTTTATCACCAAAAGTTAGAAAGTTGACTTCTTAGTAATTTTTGGATAGTGCTGCGGAAGCCAGAAGTTTTTATTAACATACCAAATTTTAGCCCGTTGGAAAGCCGGTAGCCAGATCTAAGGTAACAAACGAACACACAAACACGTATACACCAACCTTCCTACACGCACTCACACACCCAAACGCCCACAAGAAATTTTTAACATGTATTGAACAGGAAAAAGTTTCAAAAAACAAAAGTTTGGCAGGCTGCGGTTTAAAAAAAGTAAAAATATTATCGTCAAGAAACCGTCAAGGGATTATTTGGCTGGTTGCAATTTTGAATTCGTATCAAATAATAAGGATAGAATACTTGTTATTTTAATTTTGATAGCACGGTTTTGTTCATATTGGCTAAGTTTTAATATTGAACCCTACGTATACGTGGACTAATTACTAATTGTTTTCATTTTTTTATTTGACTTTCTGATAAGTTCAAATATTTGATAAAATTTCAGGCTAAAGCGATTTGGGATAGAGAGTGTCCCGGTCAGGTTTGTAGATGTTATATCACTTAAATAGCTTAAATTTGTACTTTTTATTCACATGAGTTTCCAAATGAATTTGACGTTTCATCAAATTGCAGCTGCGTCACAAAAATTATCATTAAAAATGCTGTAATTAATGATCAGAGATTTTTGTTCATTATCAATTGACTTAATTAAGAAAAGTTTTCTTGCGAAACTTTTTCTATATGAAATATCACCCATGTACTGCAATTGCATATATTTTTCACATCATAACTGAATATCACAATTGCCCCCTGCATGTGTTTGAGATGTGAATGAACCAGCCGAAGTATCAACTAGCCGAAAGTTATGATGCAAAGTATATATAAACCAATCGAAAGTTACGTCATTTGAATGAAACTTGTAAGAATTTTTCAATTGTTTCCATACATATTTGTTACATAACTGTTATCGAACAGTTACTTATTTTAAGTTTTTTTTTTGTAATTTAAGCTTATGTATCAGCTGGTTGATATGTCGGCTAGTTGATATACCAACATGTTCTCTGCTAATTGATTAACAGTTTTTTTTACTGGAGTGATGATCTTTTCAGGTTGATCACACGGCACCTCAGCCGAAGCACTTGGTGTTGTATGAGACATATTTGACTCTATTGAAAAGGGAGGAGGCGTCTATCAAGACAATCAGAGACATCGAGGAAGAGGTCAGTATAGTCGCCAATCAGTTCACCTGTTGACAGTTGTTTGGGGATTCAGCTGTTAATCGCAGCAGGGAATTTTTTATTTTCCTTCGTCTGTAATCTGATATCAGATAAAAGATCACTACGTGTTATACCACCAAAAATCCCGACTTTTTCATATGATCTTTTAAAAACCTTTACTCCTTTGTTTGTAATCTGATATCAGGCATATCAGATAAAAAGTTAACTAAGTGTTATACCCCCAAAATCCCGTCTTTTTCAAATGATCTTATAAAAAAATGCGATCGTTGTTAGAAATTTTTTTTATTATTTATAAATTTTAGATTTGATAGCAATTCCGCTCCGAACTTTTCTTCTCATTCTGTAGATAACGAGGGCTGACTTGAGCCTGCATACTACATCTTAATACATGATTGTTGCATGTTATTGAATGTCTGTGGCATTGTAATGTCCGTGTTTTTTCTGTCTGTCCAGATAGAGCAGTTCCTGAATCTGCGCGCGAAAGAGGAGGGCAGTCCTGTATTGGAGGTGTCTCACTATGACACGGAGAAGAATGACGAAATTAAACGACAGAGGAGACTACTCGTAAGTTATTCTGTCACCCTATGGATCTCTTTAAGTATATCCCCCTCGGGTACATAGTAACGAATATCCCCCTTTTCCAAAAGGGGAACATAGTTAAAGAGATCACATCCTTTTAAGTTAATCTAATTTTTTCAAATTTTATTGCCTCTCAGAAGTAACAGTGTTAGTAAGTTATGTGTGAATAATAATTCTGTGATTCATGAATCGTCATTCAATGCTGCTTACGTATGCAGATAATTTAAATAGAAAAAATGTTAAAAGACTGAAATGATTTCGTTTCCAAAAATTGTTATCAGAGTTATAAAATGTTTCTTTTTTTTTGCGACAAAACAATGAATATATGTTGGAATTTAGTAATATTTTATATATGTAAAAACTTTAAACCACTTTTAGGAATGATACACATTTTTGCACACTTGATCAAATGTCTCGAACTTTAAATTTCAACGGCTATTTTTTCAGTTGCGTTCATTTACATGATTTCCTCCATAACCACTCGATCCATACTGATGTCCGGACAGAATTTCTTGGCTACTTTGTTCATGTTCTCCAGTTTCTCCCCTATCAGGTCATGTTCACTCTGGTCACAGCATACCACGGGCTTCTCCTCTCTGAAGCATAGTTTGTTCTTTTTTGAAAAAATTTTTGTTCTTTCGTGAACACTTTTCGTTCTTATGTACACACTTTCTGTTCATTTTTGAAGTTTAGTTTTTTGATGAACATTTTAAGACCATTCATTCACAAAGGAAAGGACGAACAAACGAGCTTTTCAGCTCACCACGGAGAATCGCTGTTGTGAGCCTGCTTAGGAACTACATGCGATTTCTTATTGTTATTTTTCTGGGCTGGGTAATGATGCCTCATCCTCAAGCAACGAGCACGGATCATGGTGGGTCTCGAACATCCGACCTTTCGATTGAGAGGCGGAGATGTAACCACTTCACCACCTATCCTCCAACTTACTCATAGTATCCGATCCCAACTTACTCGTAGTATCCGATGTATCTCTCGTATCTGTCTCCTTTGATGTCTTTGGCTGATTTGCCCTCTTCGTGCGGCCACTTCTTCATTTTGGCAGTCACAATTGAGAACCCAGACCACAAGTCACGTCCAAAGGCCGCTATCATCGTACACTTACCTGTGATAAATATTATCATTTCATCGTGAGATGTGACAAGCTTGAATTCAGACTTTCGTTATGAGATTCCAAAATGTCGAAAAACTAAATTTCATTTGAGATCTCGATTTTTACCGCATTTACAAAAGCCTGCTAGAGTTTCTAGAACTTTATAAAGTGAATAAGTAGTCCTACATTTGATTTTTTCAGTCGGCCAGTATACTTTCTTCAAAGATGTCATTCTGGCTAGAATTGGGTATATATGCCAGATGCTTTTGGAGACTTCGGCTCTGAATTCCTGAAAAATCACTGGATTCTAAGTCATCCGTTTACAAAGATTAAAACAGTTTTACTCAGTGATACGCATTTTAGCCTAGGCTCTGATACAGCATTGGTTTTCTCGTAATTTTTGAGCTTTGAAACTATTAATTTGCCTGCAAGGCTTACATTAATTTTAGTATTCTCCTTTTTTACCAAAGGATTTCACGTGTTTTATAAGAAGTTTTATTGATTGAATAGTTGGTTTTTCCCCTCATTAAAAAATCAATGTGACAGAATTTTCTCGGAGAATAAAAAAAATACGAGTAGTTGGCATTTAATGATAAACCAAGCAAAATATATTGGAAGGATAATGTTAACTAGCAGGAACATAAGCAATTAATTAGGAATTACTAGCCTCGAGGGGTTTGTCACTTCCGATGTCCAGTACTTGCAGATTGGGAAGAGCCGAGTACAGGAACGTAAAATTGCGCCAAGGTATGCTATGCATAGGGTTGTCTCTAAAATAAATATAATTTTTCAAGAATTATAATTGGATATGCGTTTCTTATTTTGAAGTTATCGCGACTTACTTAGTTTTATTTGTGATGAACGGAAGTACTTGCTGGAGTAGCCCCCTTATTTTTTAAGTAAGCGTAAGCATTAAATAACCAAAAACATTGTCACGACTTTCTCAGTTTGTTATTTTGTGTTAATGTTCGAAAAGAAAACACAAATTCAAGATGTGAAATTTTCTCCTTAGCAGTTTTTGGGAAAAATTATACAAGAATTTCATACTCAAATTTTAATTTTTTCGTGATTTGACAACTCTTGATTTTTTTTTAGTTAGTTTGTTTAATTCAAGGCAAATGAGTTTCTTCAATAAAAAAAGTTCAAAAAGCGTAAAAAGACGTGAATGACTTTTATTTTAAAAAAAGATTTCCCAAAGGAATAGAAAAAATTTCTTATTAATTCACTTTTCTCAAATTAGATTAGTTTTATCAGAAAGTTTTATTCATGAAATATTCTTAAAATTGAAAGAACTTATAGTCTTTAACTGTTTTTTAACAGCAATAAAAGCAGTGAAGACTCTTATATAGGTCTTGATTATTTTTTGTTATTGTTTTCCGAAAAAAAATTTTTTAAATTTGTTCACGCTCAATTTTGATTTTTTGCGATTTGGTTTTTGATTTGTTTTTAATTTCATTTCATTTCAATTTTTAAAAGGAAGGTAAACTCCGCTATCAAACAGCAAAAGTGTAAATATGGCAAAAAGGTGATTGACTTCTAATTTCAAAATGGATTTTAATGTTCTGATTCCCCAGCAGAATTAAAAGTTTATCTATTAACCGGTTTTCACAAATTGGTTTAATTTCATCAAAAAAGCACCAATCATAAATTGTTCTTGAAATTCAAAGAGCTTTGAGAACATAAACTTTTTCTTTAAAATTCGAAAAGAACTTTTTAAAAACAAGTCGTTTTTTTTCTGTTTCTATGCGTTCATTACTCTTTTCTGACTGCCAAATGGCTATGTTTTATTTTATTGACACGTTTTTGAGTTGTTTGATGACTATGTTATAATTGCTTAAGAAAAATCTAGCTTGAAATTGTCTTATGGTCGCTCTATTGTGTACAAGTGTGATGGAGTGGTCCCAATAAAAAGCAAGGTGACAGAGGGGTCCCAAATATTGCCACGTTTAAGCAAATGCAGCATTTAATTATGCCAATGGACGCCACACGATCGTTCTAACTGTTTTTTCTCAAATGTAGATAACGTGCCTCATTTGCGACTTGATATTTGCTTTGATTTTTAGCACCGAGGCAAAATGAACAATTTTGAAGCACCTTATTTACATTAAGGAACCCGTTTGTTTCTCGTGACCCAACTATCACACTTGTACGTTTTACTGTTACTGATGATTAATGAGGATGGTTTTTGAAGTAGTCGCCGTAATACTTTTTTTAAGTGAGTTTAATTTTCCTAGATATGATGGAATACGTTCACTAAACCGATGTGTCAGTAATCGAGTTACATAATAGTTAAATCAATAGTGTTATTAGAGATTTATAGAATTGATTTGCTAAAACTTCTAAAAGATTTTTACAGCGCTTTTACTCTTGAAGTTGCTCTAATAATTCTAGGACAACAAAAAACTGACGCGATTTCAAGCCAAAGGAACTTGAGGTCGAATTTCAAATTTTTTACGTGCTTCAAAACGCCATCTTTAGTGGGATGTGTTATTCCCACAAAAAAAGTTTGCAAATAAATTTGTAAAGGGTTGAATGTTGTAATATATTTAATCCCTTTCAGTCATGATTCAGATTTCAAAAAGAAATGCAAAAAATTGTCTCAAAGTTGACAAAACTCGTCTGAACTTTTTCGTTCAATAAATTACATCATTCAACGCTCTACTCCTCGGAAATAGAAAAAAAAAACTGAAAAAAGTTAGAACAAATTTAGATTCAAAATGATTCGGAATTTTTTTATTTTCTGTTCGAAATTACTATGTATGGAACATTCTGTGCAACTTGCGCAGCAACCGCGATCACTTGTTTATAATATGCTTTAAGAAAGCTTAACTTGTCCTTGTACAGTTTGAAAAATTGGAATTAATGTTTTTCTGTAATAATAAATTGTTGTAGATCAACTTGATGGAACCACATATTATTTCCATTAACTTCCTTTCATAACCCTTAAAACTGAATTGCCTGCATCGACCATCTCTACCTGAGATTGAGGAATTCTAGGTTCTCCTGTGGCAACTGTTCCGGAAAGTCCGTGAAGTCCATTTCTTTGATGTCATTTTGGTCCAGCCATAGTTCCCTCAGACTGGGCTCGATTACTTTAGGGAATGAGGAGAGGCTGGAAAATAGCAAATTGTCACTGGCTTATTTAATTATTTTAATTATTTTGAAATAATTTGGCGTTGATTAATCAAAATTCACGCAGCTTTCAAAACTGAGATTGAATAATCAAATTACACGGAACTTTTGAAATTGAGATTGAATTATGAAAATTCGCGAAACTTTTAAAACTGAGATTGAAAAAAAAACAACAAGTTTTTAATTTCATCTGTTTTTGAAAGTATCACCCAAAAAGTTTCAAATGAAGGCGATTTGGAGTTCAAAATAACGCAAAAAAGGAACTATTGCAAAAAGTGTTTTTGTTCAATGAATGGGGCTCGAACCTTGGACAACGGTACTGTTGGCTGTGCTCTTACCTGTTGTGACTGAGGTAGAGGATGTCTAGGTTGGAGAAGGGACCATAAAGAAGGTCTCCATTGTCCACATGCGAACCTAAGCAAAAAAACTATTTGCCTCTGATGAAGGCTCCTTTGATTATGTTCCACAACTAATTCACTATTTTTGGAAACGTGTTATGAGAAAGATTTTATATTTGAAAGGTCCAATTGGTTTATAGGTTAGTATTGCGAATGAAACGCTTTCATAGCGCATTTGAGTTCATGAACCCTTAAGTTGGAAAATAGTCGTCAGCTAACACTTCTAGGTTGTTTATGATTTCTTGTGTGACCTTTAATTATTTTTTGATGCAAAAAAATTTTTTTTTGAATTTACTGATGAATAGATTGACTTTTTTTTGTTTTGTTCCGACCACTTCGCGAAATGAAGGGAAGGAACTATGGCGTAGGTTGTGTTTTTTCTTCCTAATTTTGACCTCGCCAAATCTCATAGGAAGCTCAAACGTGTTATCATATTAAAGCTTTTTCAGCATTTATTCGGATTCTGAAAAAAATCCAAACAAATGTCTCACTGTCGAGAAAGTTGGTCTGAGTTTTTCCGAATTTCAGACTAAGTTTCACAAAATTTAGTGATGCTGCAATTTTACTGCAATTGAAACATTAACTTAGCTATTAGAACCCCTCATTGTGCAGTTTTTGATCTAATTCAAACGCCGTTACAAAATTTTTTTTTAGAAAATAAAAAAATTCCCTTTTTTTGAATTTTTTTTACGTAAATCATCGTAGTCGAAATCATCGTAGTCTGTGCTATCGATCCTTGTTTTTATCTAGCTTACTCTGTATGTCATTATGACTCAAATCCAGGATATTATTCTCCGCGTCATCGTCCATGTTGAAGTCTTTAAACGGCTGGTAGACTTCTTCTCCAATACAGCCAGAGCAGTGACTGAAGTTAGCCACTGTGACTGTACTAAAACATGTCTTCGTGTCCTCGTGCAGTCCTTCGGCTGTGACTATTTGGAAGCACATTTTGTTGTTGCAGAACAGACCGGTCGGAATGTCTCCTGTACATGTGCATACAATTTTTTGTACAAGCGAAAAGGTTTGCGTGTGTTGGCAGTCGTGTTCAAATGTCTTGATGCCATTTTTATTAAGCGAAGATAATGATTGTGGTCCAAGTTTTCTGTGCTATGTCCGACCAATCCCGGCTTGTGCTACAAGGTTTTCTTGCTTTATTTTGATTGATTTGTTTGGGAAACGCAAATAGCTTTTTTATTTAATCACATTTAATCTGTTTCCAGTTTCAAACTGAAAGTTTTCTTTTATCTTCAAAGAATAACAGTATTTTAAATTCGATCTTAGAGATAGATTGTGGATGATTGATCTAAGACCCCACCTGTTCTGTGAACAATTAGGTCACAAGGGTAGTCGGATGTCCATTCTGCTTGGGATCCACACTTGGAGTAGTCCTCTGGGCTGATACACGTTAAAGCTCTAGTGCCACCAACTAACGATGCAATTACAACCACTGAAAAATAATTACTCAATTGATTAAAAAACACAGAGGCGAAATTAACCTTGTCATGTTATTAGTTTATAAGAGTCGATGAACGTACTTCAGACTCTCATATAGGTCGCGGTGATTCCTTTTTTTTTTTTTTTTTTTTTCGTTTTTTTAGGAACAGTCTTAAAATTTATTCAGGCTCACAATTTTTTTTTGCTGTTTGACTTTTGATTTTTCAAGTTCAGTTCGTTTCCGTTGTTAAAAGGAAGAGAAACTCCACTATCGAACAGCAAAAGTGTGCAGGTCACAAACTTGATCGTTTTCTATTTTGAAAGTAGAATTTCATTTTCAGATTTTACTTATTGATCCAGTTTTCTCAAATTGGGTTAATTTTATCAAAAAAAGCCAATCATAAATTGTTTGAAAAATTCAAAGAGCTTTACGGGCAGCGGTTTCTTTTTGTTCATAGGCTCTTGTCCAACTGTCTGTTGGGTATGTTAATTAAAAACAAAGCCTTCATAAACGGCTTGATAAAAAATTATATTCAATATTATTATGGGATGCATTATGACTTGGGGCGATATTCACATTGGACAATTTCGACGCAAATTGGGCAACCTTTTACCTTAATGACCTCAGAATTAAATTTTTTTTTGCGTAAAAATACATTCATAATGTTCTTTTTTTAGAAAAAAAATTAAGCCGAAATTAAGTAAAATTTTTTAAAATTTTCTACCAATCAGAATGCAGCAAAATTAGAATTCTCAATAGAAAGCTCTGCTGCTAAATTACTGTTTTATTTAGAGGGGTGGAGAATTTTTAGTAGGTCTTACAGATGTGAACAACAAAATTTTGTTTGTTCAAATCGATGTTAACTAAAAAAAATGTTAACTAAAAATTGTTAGATTTCAAAAGCAACGGCGCAATCGTTTTGATCTGTTTTACCGCTACATAACCTGATCAGAAATGCAAGTTGACATATGGTTAAAAGTTCAAATTTCAATTGTTTGCTCAAAAAGCGTAGACTATACATCATCAGTGAAATTTTTACCCGTTTATGAAAACTCAAAATCTTTGCAGGAACTTCGCTAGATTTAGCATTTCGAACTACACAGAAGAAATATAAAAGCCTGCAATACGGTTTCAAGAATCTTGCAAAATTTGCAATCCCGATACACTATCGTCGCAATTTGAGCCTCTTTTAAAAATGTGCCTGGCGTGAGAGAGTGTGAATTTAATTGATCGTTACGTTAACAAAATTGTTCTCTAAACAACAAGAAGAATCATATTAAAAGCTAAAATTTTAACAAAAGAGGCGGTATGATAAAAAAAAATCAAATGGGCTCAAATTGTCCCTCTTATGCTTCAAACCAGTTATAGTTCTCCAAACCAGTTATGGGTTTTTTTTCGACAAATGTTTTTTTTGTTTCGATTCTCGATGAAAATAACCGATTATTTGTTTGATGTGGTTTCTTTACGAGATATTATTCGATTTATTGACAAGCAGTTTTGTATCTCTTTTTACTATCCCTGACCCTTGTAACTATATATAATATTGGCATATGTTTACATTAGCGAGCAGCTAGTGTTTTAGTACGAACTTTCTTTTTTCTAATCTAACTCGCAAATAAAAATGTTCATTGAAAATGGAAAGTGTTCGCTTATTTGGTGGCACTTTTGCTATAATCACAATCTAGCGTTGGAAATTTCAGAGAATCTGTTCTCTGCTTTTTATATGGCTAGTGTTTGTGATCAATTAAGGTTGAGTGGTTAGTCCATGGAACTCAAAATCGCTAGGTTGCAGTAGGTTGCAGATCGAATCCGAGACGTGGCCGCATTTTTACTAATTCGAGGTTTATTTCTAGTTTTTCTATTTGCATTTTTTAGAACTGCTTTTTGTCTCGTTCTCGCAAGTATTTTTCGAAGCGAAGCTTCGCCTCTGTGTTTACAGTTGAGTTAGTCCCTAAAAAAAGGTGTTCGCATAGAAGGTGTTTTTTAATATCCTCGCTTCACATTGCTACCAGATACAATATTGGCATATGTCTAATAGTTAGTTATTCCCTAATACTAGGAATGTTCCTTAAAAACAATTGCTAGCGTTTTTTCCGAGTTTTGAAGTAAGTAAGAAATATATATAATCGGGATAGTTTTTTTATTCAGACTAGTTTTCAAAAGAACTCTCAGGGGAGTGTTACTCTTGGGGATCGATCCCTTGATCCTTATTTTCTCCGAAGCGTCGCGGTCTCAACTATGCTAAGCTGACCTTGCGACATCTGTGAATTGAGTCTATCTAAACTGCTCTTTTTATAGTTTATGAAAGTGAAAAGCGCTTTATTTACGTGTGGCGAAATATCCCGCATCACAAAAATATTCCAAATTGAATGAAAGCAAGCTAATTGGTTTTTTTAATTCCATACACTACTCAAATTTCAATACTTAAAATTTGATATTACCAGTCAAAACTTTATAGTTTGTCAATATTTCATAAACTGAAAACTATTCAAGGCCAGTTAATGCGCAGTCGGAGCATTCAGGGTTTTGTCCTGATACGAGAAGTCCTGTTTAATTCATCTTGTAAAGTAAAAACTACTCCTGACATTTAAACAACAGTCGGAACGTTCAATATTCAGAACATTGTCCTCATACAAGCAGTCTTAATCTAAGCGAGGAAGGCTTGAAGATTGGCCCTTTTTCAGGCAAATAGGCGACCTGTATTATCAATCAAACTGGACACGTTATGCCACATTTTTTAAAAACTTTAAGTAGCTTTATTTCACTGGTGGAAACAGAATAAATCTCAAATGCCATAAAAAGTTGAATTTTTCTCACATGGGCGTAAATTCCACTTTTCGTTTCAACTGAAACGCTTTCTTTCAACAAATTTTTATGCTTTTCATCAGGAACTGCAATTGTTGAGTGAATTTTTTGCTGGAAAAATTGATCATAAGAAAGTAATTAGAAACAGCAAACTCAAGCTTTGGATAATAAACCTCTAAGCCATTTCATGATAACGATTCAATTGACGTATTTATCATTTGTCACTCATTGTTTACAAAAAAATTCTCAAGAAATATTTTTCAATGCAACTGTTACATAGCTTTTATGCTATGTAAAAAATGTGTAATTTTATGCCATTTCAGATATAAGTTGAATTTGGTGTTATTTCATGGCTCACAATTGTTTTATATAAACTTTTTCTAAAATGTTGTTTGCAAATGTGAATACGGGCGAAAAAAGATCTTTTTATCTGTTATAGCTTTTCAGGAAGTGCCTTAAAATGATATTTATAGATTTACATTAGGAAAACTCTAAAGATAAAATAAAAACTGGGCTAAAATTGAAAATTTAAAATTTCAAATCACTTCTGAGAATGTCCCAATTTGCCTTGAACAGATCCTTGAGCATTGTAGTTTATGATTTGCCCGGTTGCTTCCCAAACAAGAATATAATCTGTATGTAGAAATTTTAATGAACCGTTTTTTAATCTCATCTTTTTAAAGATGTTCGATAACGCCTTTATCTGGTTACCTTATTAAGTATGAAGTCTCACTTCAATTCATCTCTAAATCACCTTTCAAATAGTTTCACTTAAAAAAATTTTAAGAAAAGTAGATAATTCTAATTTACCTGTAGAAATAATTATTTTCTCGGACAAAAAGTGCATTTCTTCAGGTTCGACTTCAATGGGATGCAATTAATGCTGAGTTATCAAAAAGCGTTCATGAATGATGAATAGATTTATAACTTTGCGAGAGTTCAAACTTAACTATGCGAGTAACGAAGAATGTAGGGCAGACTGTTCCAATTTGGTTTTCGTATTTGCTATCACAAGTTGGTTTTATTGGTTTGTGTGACTGATTTTGTTCAATCAACCCCTCAGATGAATCTGCGCCCTAGATTTAAAGTCTAAGTTTCAAAGTGAAATGTATTTGGAGCTTAATATCTGAACTAGCCTATACTATCTATCACTACGCTTTGTGGAAAGGACAACAAACTAATTTATTTTTTACAACCTTTTCCGGATGAACTTGATTAAAATGTATAAACTAAAAACTAATCGGATAATGTAATCAAGAATGGCCGGTTACTGTGCAAGTACCACAGAATGTTCCAACCATAGTCTTTAACAATCCACGAAAAAAGATTATCTCTCGCCGTTTTTAAACTATTATTGCCGCTTTGTCTTTTTTCTTCGCTGAATTGAGTTGCGTTTGCTAGAAGAAGAAATAACAAAAAATTAGACAACAAAAATTGCAAAAAAAATATATATTTTTAAAATTCTTTGTTTTTAATTTTTTTCTGAAGTCAGTTTATTCGAAACATTTTTGATATGAGAAGTCTTGTTTTTCTCCAGCCGACTTCCACTACCTCAAAGAAATCTCGCAAGAGATCAAGAGTTGTGTGTTTAAAAGCATACAAACAAAATAAATTCTCGTTTCAATCTTCGGTACAAATTGTTCAAAACCAAATATTTTTTGGTTGATACTTGCACAGCAACTGGCTAACCTTGGTTTTTTAAGTTTGATCTGTTTTTTTTTTGAAAAAAAAAGAAAAAAGTTAAGTAGCGATATGAAGCCATTTAGTTCGCAGCATCTGCTATAAACTTAAAGCAATAATTTTAACAAAATAGCCGTTCTCAAACACCCATTACTTCACAGAAAAAATCACAGTTAAAGTATCGTTTTTTATTTAGACTCAAGAAATCACTAGCTTTGAGATGATATAAAAAGTTCCGTCAAATTTCATTGAATTATCAAACATTTTTCTGACGAAAAATCACTCCAATGGTGTATATCGTTTTCTTCAAAAGGTGCAACAAAATTAATTCAATTGTTTCCCAAATGTTGATTCGAATACTTAAAACAATTGGGTGCCTTCGAGAAACTATAATAGTTTGCAAAGAAATCTTTTTTCATTTGATGCATGATCTGGTTTGCCTCAATTTTCCCAGGTCTAGCATCGTGGCTGTGCTCATTTTTTGTTGAGACGAGTTCATCTCCTGCTGTGACGGCGAGCATGCGGCATTTGTGTGAACTGTATCTTGCGCATCTCCAGTGCTCAGTAGTTTTTTGTCGTCTGTTTTTTTTGTGAACTCGTGTCCGTCAATAATTAGCGTTCGTTTGTTTCGTTGAGATATTCCCCACGTAAGTTGACTCATAGTATTTATGTTGAAGTATTTATCTGGATCTTTAAGAACGAAATGGTAAACAATGAAGCAAAATGAAAGAATAGCAGTGTTTCATTTTGTTTCAAAGGCGCTAATTGTGGATTATTGTCAAAGTTTGGCGTGTAATTACCAAAAATTATGGTTTTTTAGGCTCAGCTTCGAATATTTTCGATTAGAGTCTTTTGTTGTCTCGTAACGAGTCCAGTGTACATTAGCACTTGCTGGTCCTCAATTTGAACATCAATGAATCAAGTGAAAGTGTCAAGTATGGGATAAAACGGCATTGGACAAAATGTCATGTGGGGCAAGTTAGTATAGGACAAGTTGGCATATGGCCAATTGACTTGGGGCAAATAGTCCTGATACCGAAAGAAATATTCGAAACACGATAGAATGTATACGGCTAAGCACTGTCGAAAACTCATTCCTGCGTTCAGACAAGCTTTGAAATTTTTTTGATAAGGTTGAATTACTGCTAAACTAAGTTAGAATTAAAATGGCATTTTACATTAAAAAAAGACAAAAAATTGTAAACATTATACATTTAAAACATACATTTTTAAAAAATAAAATTGCTTTATTTGTGAATGTTTTCATAAAATTTTTGTAGTTTTTATTGCTGATCATCATAGTAGCATATTGGTGAAGTTTTTATTGGGTTGTAGAATGTAGCATTTTTCATAGCATCTCCATGACGAAAAATACTATCAGCAGGTAAACGAAAATGAATACCAAGAGTTTTCCGAATTTCCAAATACTGCTGATCGAAAATTTTCGAACTTTTTCAGGATAAGTTTGCGTAGCCATTTCTTTTTTGGTCAGTTTCTGTAAGACTCGTTTGTCTGTTTGCATTTCACGCTCTTTTGCTTCGGTTTTTGGCAGCGTGAAAAGATCTCCGGTCACAACTAATTCTGCGTTTATCCTGGTCATGTTCGAAACATCGACGTCCAAATCTATTGCATAATCGTGACACCAACTTGAGTCTTGCTTCAAAACATGTTCAGCCTCTTTCAGAACTTTATTTGCCTGATTTACGAATTCTTTGTCGAAGACCAATAAAGTTCTGGCTTTTGAAAGTCGAATGGAAATTTCTTTCAGTAGTTCCAATTGGCATCTAAACTGCGCACATTTAACTAATTTGGTCATATTGCAGGAATCGGTTAATGTTGCGATTCGATTTTTGACCATAGATCTCAAACCCAATTCGAGTTTTGTAATTTTGGTCAAAGTATCTTCATAAGAAAGTTCTAAGTGAAGTTTCTGCTCCTTGAAGTCGCGGATTTTTCCATAAATTCGGTCTTCCATAGTCGAACACCTTTCGAAAACAATTTGTCGGTGGTGCGTTGCGCAGTAATGGCATAAGTCACGATTACAATGACCGCAATTTAGGAACTCGGCTTGGAGGTAATTTTCGAGGCAGGACGGGCAATTTTTTTCCACCGGAAATGTATCGCTACTCTGGCGGTGGTAACTCATTTTAATGGCTTCTGGATCTGGTTGTAACGTGACCAAGATTATCACTAACTGTTAACTGTGTAATTATAATGGTAAGTGGTGTTTTGGCTTTGTGTTTTAAGTTTAAGATCAACTTGTTTGTTCAATTAAGTTGATGTTTGTTTCAAATGGCGGAATTTGGAAGCAGTTTTGGGCGCGCTAGACTATTGTTCGCAATTTTACTACACCAGTCTTTTGACTTCTATTCAAACTATCTCTATGTGATCAGCCCCATGTTTGAAAATGCGACGTCGGTTCAATGGTACAAATTCGTTTTGCCCTGGAAAATTGTGGCCTTTTTTCTTCTAAATCACGTGAAAAAAGTTGTGACCTTCACACGAACATCAAACAAGATCTGAGAACAACTCAGCCCGTTTAGCGATATTCATCATGCTGGATCTTGATACCAGTGACATTTCAAAATATTTGTTTGGTGACATTTCAAACTGTTTGATTTGTCACATTTTTGCGATCACTCGGTTCAATCGTAGCAACTTTTGAAACCGTCGCAAATAATATACGGTTTCAACGTTTTATCCTTGGTTAAATTATTTCAAAAACTTGCCTTGAAGATCGATTTAGACTTTTCACTTGCCTAAACTCAGATAGTAAGTCATTAGTACAGTGAACAAAAATCTCTTGCTGAAATATAAAGTTTATTCTAAATTTCACTTGATTTACTACTGGTCAACACTATAGTAAGAAGATTAAATGCCGTAAGGTTAAAAATAGAATGGTAACAGAAATGATTGAGTTTGGTGAGTTTTTGAGCTTCTTTGAGCAGAAAAGTTGATTTGTGGTTCTGAGGTCGTTGTACAACTGGGACCCCAGAGGAAACTCTTCGGAGGAGCTGGTTTCGAGATCGCATCTGAGAACCTCGTCAGCTGCCGAAAAGCTAAAAAACGGTTGAATAGTTTTAATGAAAATGATATTCATTTTAATGATTCATCGGGTACTCGTTTAGAAATATGGTCCCGAAAAACTGCTTATGGTCCCATATAAAACTCAGTCAGAAAAAAAATTATAAGGTAGTTTCTAAATTTTGCTAATTTTGATAATTTTGTGCAATTGATAATTTTGCTAATTCCATTTTGTACAAAAACTTAAGTGGTAACATTAATTGGTTACATAAGTTCTAATTAGGGGTACTTGAAGCATTTTTAGGTTGAAAAACTGATAAACTTAAATTTTTGATCGCTCAAAAAATCTAAGTAGCGGGTTGACTAACAAATGAGAAAATTTTTTTAGTGTTCAACCCTTGAAAAAAAAATTCTTTATTTATTGCGATAATTGAAGAAAAAAGTACTTATTTTCATTTAAAACCTACAGGGTCATAGCAGGTAGACTTAGAACACGTTCTAATTAACTTAGTCTTACCTGCCATATGAAAAGTAGTAATGCGACGACTTCGTATCAACTGGTCCGATTAGATTGAATCGAAGGTCTCGGAAAAGCCGACACGTACACGAAAATAAACTGGTAGGCCAATATACAGTTTTTAATTTTGAACATTTTTTCAAATTCTGAATTCCAGTCAAATTTCGATTATTGTCGCGAAGATTCAATACTTCCAAGTTTGGAAAAAGATCGCAAAATTTCTCATCTATGTTTGGTATACGATTTGATTTCAGTGACAAAGATTTCAACCCTTCCATTCGGCAATTTATGGGCAGCTTGAAGTTTTGATTTTCTGATAGTATATTTTGGTCTAAAATGAGATTCTCCAACTGCCAAAGCTGGCAAACTGCTTCCGGAAAACGATTTAAATTATTTTCCTGAAGATATAATATTTTGAGCGAGTTTTTCATTGGTTCGAAAACTTCGGGGTCAATTTGTGTCAACCCTGTTTTTGATAAGTCGATTGATGGCAGGATGTTCGGAATATTTGAAGTGGTAGTCTGCATGAACAAACGTGAAAAAGATGATGATTTCAGAAGTCTTAGCTTGCTTCCACTAAAACAGATCAGAAAAAGATTTATATTTTTATTACAAAAAAACTCAATGGAACGCATTTTGTAGCAATTTTTCTCAATAAAGGTAGTTTTATTTGAATGTTTACTATTGATCTTTAAGCATTCAAACTTGATTGCTTAAAACTGATTGCGTATTTGAAAACTAGTTTTCTGCTTTTTAATTGTCGTTTTAAGGGTATTATCATCGGGCACTAGATTTTTTTCCCGTTAATAACTTTGTTCACAGGACTCATGTGGACTTCTGGAATCTTCTCTAGTGGTGCCTTGTTTCATTTTTATTTCAAAATCTTTAGCGTTCCCGACTCATTTAGCCCGGAGATAACGAAAACGCCTGCGATGGCGAAGGTCCTGTGTTCGATTCTGACCAAGACCTGTTTTTTTTATAAAGAAAATATTCTATTTCAAAGTTTTCGGCCAATTATTTGTCTGTTTATCTTTTGTCGACTTAGTTGCCACATCTTGAGATTGTTTTTTTTTTTGCTACGCGCATTTTCTTTTATCATTATTTTTAGTCTTTGATTTACTTCTGTTTGAAATTTTACCAACCTTGACTTGGTGTTTTTTCTTTTTTTGTTTTATTTTGTTTCGCTTTAAAATTTTAATTGGCCCAAATTATTTCGACTTATTTTGACCTAGTGGCCTAATTTTGTGTCGTTTCAAGGGAAAACCAATTTTTACGCCCTCCGCACTGTTTACGGTGATTGTAGTTTTACTCCTCGGCTTACTGAATTTTCATTTTTTTTGCTTGATAGATTTCGTCTTGAAAGTTTTTTTGATTTTTTCTAATAAAAACAATTTTTATTGGCGCAACGTGTGTCTGCTCAGAGTTTTCGGCTTTGTAATTTTTTTTATGCTTATTTAAGATTCAATTTTTTTTACTTTTTGGCGTATTTTCTTGAAAAGATTTTTCATTCAAGACAAGACAAATGGAGGAAAATTTTTCATAGATCAATTTTTCTGATATTTTTTCAAAAAATATATATTTTTGAGTTTTTTAACGGCTTTTATTTCCATGTCTATCGATTAGTTTGTCATTCTATGTATGTGTTGTATCGCTTTGCTTCGCCTGCGTTTGTAAGATTTGTAAAGGCGCAGGTAATTCAGTTCGAAGTTTCGGATTTTTTTTGCAATTTTTTTGATTTTTTTGTTTTTTGATTCGTCGCTTCATCAGCAAGTAGTCATAGTCATTCATTTTTGTATCACAAGCTGTGCGAAGCTCTGTTTCGCCTCTGTGTCATTTTTTTGATAAATTTTTTTGTTAACTCTCTGTTACGCAAAACATCTCACCTTAGGTTTAAGTACTTGACATGTTCAATTCCACATATTCTGTTCAGTTCTTGGAAATCGATTGATTTTTCCCTCAGCGTAATTTCATTCAACTGGCCTCCAGTACTTGACCATAGTAAACTTTTATACTTCCGTTGAAGGAAAATAATCGGCAAACAAGAAAAATCAGCCAAACGGAACAGACAAATGAAAATAACGCAATAAGATATGAACATATTCAAAATTTTTGCTGCTTTAAAGTGGTAAAATAATTAATTATTTGGCAATTATTGGATGATGATGCGTGGGTGTTTTTCTTTCCGCCTGAAGTTTTGATTCAATGTATGATTGATAGAGAGAAATAAGTAATTGAACATGGTTTTCAACAAAATGATGAAAGTTCACAGGTGGTAAATATAAAGAGAAATTCTGATTTAAGTGGAAAAACAAGTTTGAACTAGGCTTGACTTCACATTTTCTGTCCAATTTTAATTTGATCTGGAAATTGGTGCAGTGATGACCCTACGGGTTAACGATAACGAAAGAGAAATGATTGATTGAAAACATACCCAACAGAATTTTATCTGAAAATTAATCCGTAATTCCAGTTAGGACGAAAATTAATTAGAATTTCATTCTTTTCAGCTCAGCAGGTAATTGTTGGAATCATTTTGCCCGAAGGATCGGACAGTTTTTTTACCAAAGAAGGGAAATTCTGGAAAAAAACGGGCTCAATTTATTCAATATTTCAATTCAAGGCCAGAGTTAGAAATTTTGGACTGCATTGGTGATAAGAGCAGTTTTCAGTAAGAGGAATTTTTTTAAAAAAGGGAAATTTGTCCCCGAAATAGTCAAAATCTAAGTAAATTTACAATAAGTCGCCCTTAAAGTTGTTGTAATTTTCCGAAAAAAAGCAATTAGATCATCCCTGCACGCCCAAAAAGATCAAACTTGCAATATCAAATCTTTTGAATCTGCAATAGCTGAATTTTCTCCCCGATGAAATACAAAACTGCTACTGTAACTTGTATTTTTTGCTAAAAGAGACATCATTCACTTTTTTTAAAAAAATTAAAGCTGATTTAGAGTAAGTAGAGCAGAAAATTTGGATTTAACCTGATTTTTCAGGGTTGATTTGTCTTAAGGCTAATTAGATGACAAAGAAACAAAAAGCTGTTCTTGTTGTTGAAAAAAAAACAGGTAGCACCTGGAAGAAAAAAAAATTATCAAAAAATCAAAAAGGAAGTGAAATTTAGATAGGTAAGATTTAGAAACAAAAAATGGCGTTTGAGCTTTTTTTAAAGCAAACTAGCCCCGTTTTTTTTTCATTATTTGAAATGTCAATCGAAATGCTTTCAGACCAATTCAATTTTGATGAAGCTTGCTTTACGATTTAACAGTGTCCTCTCCATTATGGCTATCTACCATTTATTCATTTTAACCCCGATAAGAAGATAAGATTGACGTCTAATGAAACAAAATGGCCACCAAACCGAATCTAGTTAGTCTAAAAGAATGTAAAATTGACTCTTAATTGTTTGAATTGGTTTTCATCTGAAGAAATTCAGAAAAAAATGGTTATCAAAAAAAACTCAGCTCCCAAAAATGGGATCGCTCTATTACCATTTCGAAATGGATGAAATTTCCCTGAACATATTTGTTGATAGATTAGCTTGTAGGAATCTCAAAGGCATGATTTTCTTTTGAATATTTTAGCCTATTATATGAGATGAAAAATAGTCAATTAGTTTCAATAAGTCAGTTCCATTAGCTTTCAGTCAAATCCATTAGCTTGCCGATTGAAAAAGTACCGTTCAATCACAACAAGACCCCCCTCTCCCCCACCCCCTTCCTCGTCAAAAATTTCCTGCGCATGCCAGTGGTCATCGCACTCAAAATTATAATTTACGTAGCTTATCTCCAAAAATGTTCAGTTTATGTTACCTGATTCGCATAAATGAAAAGAAGAAAATATAAGATTTAAAAGAACTGACAATGAAAAATAAACCATTCACTCTACTTCACACATTTTGTGTCTCTTCTGTTTAATTTTTGATTATTCCAAACGATGACTCTGTTTGTCCACAGAAAACACTTTCAGACATCTGGATAAAAAAAGATAAAATATACTGCATATAATCAATGCGTCGGAAACGTGAATTTGAACGGTTTTGACGAAATTTCCTTTCAAATCGGTCAGTTTTTATTGTTTGAGCAATATCACTTCTACTTCCTCAGTAAGGTTATTAATTTTTAATTCAAAATTAATTTTTTTAGTCACTTTTTGCCTCAGGCTCAGATTGAAAAAATAATTAATCAGCATGATCTGATAGCGTTTGTAATCAAATTTTTCTGTTAAAATTTCTGATTTTGTACTGATAAAGTTCAATGTAATTGAACGAAACGGTTTCTGTAGAAAATGCGCACGGAAAATAACAAAAATGTAAATGCAATGTGATTTTTGAAAGGTAGACAACGAATGTTTTAATGCAAAATTTGTAAATACAATTTTGAACTTTTTTTTGAAAAATGTGGCTACAAAAATTTAATTTTCTAAATCCTACAAACTTATTATATTTTGAAAAGAAGACCCTCCTACCTTGAGGAAAAATGGTATCGAAACCTTTTCAAAATGATCAAATAACAAGGATTGTTATTGGAACCCAATTTAACAGGACTCATGATTGCTATTGCAGAAAGAAAATTAATCAGAGTTCAAAGATTTTGGTCTCAAGGCGATTTATCGGTAACAGAAAACCAGATTAAATTAATTATCAACTAAGGCGAAAAAAGGTGTTGGTTTTCCTTGCAGAAACAAATCTTCTCCTTTTTTAATTCAAGCAGACGATTCTCAAGTAAAACATAATGCCCATGAGCGAAAACTGAATAAATATTTCAATTAAACTTTAAGAAAATCTAAATTAGATGGTCTATAATTTTATCAATAAATAGACTTTGCAAACAAAAAAACCGATCTTTATCGTATTAATAAGTGTATTGGTTGTTTACGTTTTAAAGTCTTAATGCAATTGATTTTGGATAATTTTGTGATTACGTTTTTCAGCAGTTTAATCGTTTCGAGATAAGTGTTTTTTCATATATGCGAAGCCAGTGTAATTAGTCCATTTATTTTCTAATAAACTTCTTAAAATTGACAGAAGTTGAAGAATTTTCTTCAGATAACTTCAGTGACTCTTGAAAAAATGATAAGTACTCTCAAGTTTCTAGAAAGCTATTCAATGCATTTAGCAGTCTCTCAAAACTGGTTGAATTGATTTTTAACCAGGTAATTTATTTTTTGGTCTTCAATATACCCGCTGAGTTGTTGATCATTTTTCATAAGTAATTCATGGTAGCTCGGTAACTTATTCAGCCAGTTCAATCATCTCTTTTTCAAAACTGACGCCGAAAAGAAGCAAAGATAGCAGAAAGCTGGTTCCTGTTCAATTAGCAGAGAATGATCCGACCAACTTGATTTAAGAAAAGAAAATCAATCATGAAACAAACATTTTTCAAAAAAATCCAAGTTTTTTAGTCTAAGTTTTCTGTTATTTTTTCGCGATTATATTAGCTGAAAAAAGCAAGGAAGAGCGGTAGCTATTATTCAAAAAAATAAAAAAGCCAACTAAATTTCGTTTAATTTAGTCTGAAAAATTGAAAATATTCAGACTTGTTTTTATTGACAAGGACGATTTTTCAAAGTTTTCACGGCCAGAAGGGCTGGAATGTGATATTACTTTCGATTCCCTCCCAGCTTTCCTTGAGTTAGTTAAAATTGGTTGGAAATAAAGATAAAAAACTGACCCGAATCCATAATTCCTTTCCACTCTCCAAGGGTACTTGGAACAAAAAACTTCTAATTGTAGGATTTTATAATTTACTACATTACCAAACTGTGCGCAATCAAAGAAAACTGTAGTACAAAAGAAAAACAAAGAGAGCAACTTTGTTGCGAAATCTGCTTACAATTTAAAAATACACAGTTTGGCCTCGTAATGTAGTTTGTTTTAATCAGGCCTGCTTAGTTTTTTTTTTTTAAAAATTCAAGTGAATTTTTTCCGTAATTGTATTTTTATATTTGCGAAAAATAAAGTCACCGGAACATCCGGGAGTTTCATCATTTTCAAAACCAAAAACTAATGCATCGACGTTAAAAGACAATCGAAACATTCTGTACTTGATAAGGCCTGTGAGTGCATGAACATTAAAGAGAGAAATATCTTTCGTTTATTTTTTCATTTTCAAAAAAAGTCGGGCGAAGAACAGGCAAAAAAATTCGCGGATTTGTATTGATTACTCTTGCGAAGCGAGTGATTATTATTAGTACGAACCTTCTTTGTTTCCAACCTAAATCGCAAATACTGGAGCCATTTTTGGGGCACTTTTACAGCTTGTTCATATCATGTGCTCTGCCATTCGAATAGTAATAATTTTACATAATTGACGCATTTTTAATTCATCAGTTGAACCGAAAAAAAAGTGATTTGTTTCTAACAACAACAATAATGAAAACTCGATTTCAGAAGTTTTCTAGCTCAATATATCTTGTAATTTTTTTGAATTCCATAATTTATACAGAATGTGGCTTTATGCTTTGAAATTTCTTACATGCAAAAATAATGTGGAAGCCTTCAGTTTGTCATATTTCAAATTGTTTATTGCAAAATTGAGTCTTTTTGTGTTTGGTGCCACTTTTGCTGAATGGCATTGGCATTTTATAAGCATATGTAGCTGCTTTATGAGTGACTTGTGTTTGTCAGTTGTTAAGGTTGCGTGGCTGAGTGGATAGTGCGTGAGACTCGAAATCTGTTGATTGCAGTAGTTCGCAGCTTCGAATCCTTCACATAGCCGAGTTTTTGCTAATTCGAGGCTTATTTCTACTTTTTCTTATTTCACTTGATAGTGCTGCTTTTTGGTAGTTTTTTCGCAAGTGTTTGCGAAGCGCAGCTTCGCCTCTGCGTTCGTTTCCTTTTACAAAAAATGTTCTTTTTATTGTGTTAATGGATTTGAGTTTTCTTGCGTCACGAAAAAAAATTTTGTTCCGACCGTTTCAATTTTTTCTTTTTTCCACGCAAAATCAGGTACCACAAATAATCATTGGAATGGGTCAATAAGTATAGTTTTATATATGTCAGCGTGCAGGATTACAATAGCTTATTTAAGCCGTGAAAACTATGTTTTACTCAAGCGAAGTTAGTTTTTGGAATTTTTAGCGCCAATTTGGGAATCAAAAATTTCAAAATTTTGAACAAATTTTGCAAAAAAAAATAGAAAATGTTTGTGACATGTGAAAAAAATTTTTACGATTTTTTTCTCGTTTTTTTAGTCTTTTTTTACAAAAATTGTTTTCCAATTAGCCAATTTGACTATGATTGTCGTCGAATATGTCTAATTTCTTTTTTTTTGTTCAGATCTTTATATCACATCAAAAAGAAAAAAACACTCCAATAAAAAAAATGTATTTTTAAGAGTATAGTCGGAGCATTCTGTGCTTCTTACCAGTAACCGGCTATCCTTGTTATAACTTATGAATGACTGAATTCGAAGCATGTACGAAATAAAATTGTAGCGCTAAAACGAAAGTTCAGCTTAGGTTAATCAGGTCGATACCTTGGTTAATGATTTAAGGCCAGTCCATAACTAATAGTTTAAAATCTGACCTATAATTGAAGTGAAGGTCCCTTCGTTATGATGATCCATCCCAAGAGAATTTTTCGCCTGTAATTTTTGATAAAGAGGTGAAATTTACTGCCTTTTTTGAGTCTTAAGATTCAATTTGGTCGGTGTGCAAAATTTTGCTAAATACTTTCTAATATTATGACTGGCATTAAATGATTTTTCATCGGATTTGTGTGATAATGCGATTTTTTATGGGTTAGGGTCACAGATAATAAGCTTTAAATTGAATTGGGTAATAATAAATATTTTAGCTTGAAAAAAGTAAAATAATGCGCTATCAGATCACAGATAGAGGGTAATTTTGCTGCAAAAATTGGTCCAAAACATTGAATTTGAGGACATTAATAGCTCAGTGACTCTCTTGCTCTAGAAGTCTGGAACTGACCTTAATTGTTATTAAAAGTTGAAAAAGCAACATTATGTTCAGAAATTTAAAAAGCTCCTTTGTGAATCGATTTAGAGATTAAAGCAGTTTAAACAGTTTAAGTAAGTCGGAAATATAAGCTCACCTTTTTCTCCGCCCATTTTAAAATTGCAGTCGCCCAATTTTAATGGTATCCTGATTTATGGCGAAATTGACCTTACAATAGCTGGGAAAATATCTCCACGGCATGAAACTAATTGCAATTTATATCCTAAAAAAGAAGTCTTTATAAAATAATGAATACACTGAATATGAAATTTTCAAATATTAAGCTGAAAATAAAAATCAAAATTTTTGTTTTATAGACATACCAGGCTGTTCAAATATACTTTATAATAATGAATTACGATCAATTAATGGTCCTAAAAGGCTTTTTGTACGAACCTAGCTCTCTCCTTCATACAGAAGAAATTTTAAGGAATGTTTGATCAATTCTGGTTCTAAAATCTCATCCTCATTATAAATATTTGACTGCAAAAAATTTTGTGAACTAGTTTCAATGTTTTGCTTATCTAAAACCATTGATTGTTCCGATCACTTCAAGGAAAGCTCATGCATGAGCCAAGGAAATGTGATATCATATTAAAACCATATTGATCGTAGCTGGGATTCTTAAAAAATCAAAGAAACTGCTATCAGTGTCGAGAAAAACTGGTCTGAACTTTTCTGTTTCAGGTTACAATAGACGAAATTTGCTGAGAAGCTGACTTCCTTAACCTAATTCTTTTACAAGTTGATCATTGTTTTAGCTATTTTTATTTCTCAAAAAAAATGGAAAAAAGTTTTCTTCATTTTAGAACTTCTTTCATTAAGTTACTGTGGTCAGAAAATTCTATGCTTTTCCGGCTATGCTTGTTTTATAATAAAGAGTGGTTTGAATGCTGATTGCCTGAATACGGCTGGTGACGATGATGTTTAAAAATGGACGTCAAAATACTTCTTACAAACTAAGTAAAATTGGGTTCTTTTATTTTATTGATTGGGAACTGTCAGAAGTCGGAATCTTCAGACAGTTAATATTTAACAAGGAATCACTCAAGGGATGTTATGATGGGTTCATACTGGTATTGGTATTATATATGAAAATATATTCTCCCATTAAGACATTTAAAAAAAATTGTAACTGGGTTTTGACTAAAATAGCTTTAATCTTCATTGTATGAGAAGCAATGATTCTATAGAAACAGCACGTTTATTAGGAGCAGAGCAGATCTATTGTTTTTTGTGTAAATGGAACAGCTTCAAATAAAAATGTCAAAACATTTTTTGTCAACAAAATTGCCCTAAAATTATATTTAGTAATCACTAAAATATATTGCGATATTTTCTTCCCGCCGAAGGGAATGGATAAATATCAAGTATATGTGTTTTGTGGCAAATTCACCCCTAGTCAATTTAAAATATTTTCAAATGCTGAAAAGAAGTTTTCTTAGATGAAAATTTTCTTTTTTCAATTTGAAAATTTACATAAGTGTCAAACGTAGTGAGTACACTTATATAGGTCTCTCGTTTTTTCAGCCAAAGTTCTTAAAATTTGTTGACACTTAAATATGATTTTTTGCTATTTGACTTCTGATTTATTTTTAAGTTCAGGTCATTTCATTTGCTAGAAGGAAGGCAAATTCCCACATGGAACAGCAAAAGTCGAAAAACGTGATTGTTTGTTCAGGAGAAGCAAGAGATGGAGGAGAAGCAGCGTCGGGAAGAGATGGAACTGGACTACCTCGCCCCCTTCTTCGCCCAGATCGGCAGCAGCTCCGAGGGGGAGAAGGGAGGGGGGACTCTGACTGAACCACAGGCTAGGAAGATGAAGGAAGACGCTCTGGCTGATCTAAAGCAGAGATTGATTGATAAGGCCAATCTCATCCAGGCACGATTCGAAAAGGTGCGCTTTTTTCATCTTGGGTATTTATGGGAGATGGACTCAAAACTGAAGTTTAAAGTTAGCTAATATTGTTAACTTATGCAAATTATTCCTATTTTGAACCAACCGTTTTTGGTCTGCGAATTGGAAATTTTTTCTCTAAGGCCTCCTTACGTGAGCTTAATTTTAACAAACAGCGTGCGCTGAAAAAACGCTATCTTTTGTTCCAATCCATCGAAAAGATCTAAAAATTGCATTTTTCTGTGAAATTGGTAAAAATTGTCTGAAATCTTCAATAATGATATTATTTTACGATTTTGTTGCGCAAAGAAATTCTTCATTTCTCTCTTTTCTTTTATTTACTGTTCGCTGAGACGCGGCAACTTTTGTATTGTTTGAAATTTTTTCTCTCTGACCATTAACACAACATTACCTTTTTTATCTTCTGGAGAAAAGCTAATTAGGGTCATTTAAATGTTCTGAGAGAGCCCGGAAAAACTACTTGGTCGACCATAAACTTGAAACAAAATACCCCCCCCCCCCCAAAAAATCCTAGATTTACTACTTCAAAGGAGTATAATTAACAAAAGTACTAGGAGAAACTTAGTTTCATCATGTTACTCAACGTCAAGTTAGAAAGACCAATTCCTTTTTTTGGATCTACTTAAAAATTACTCCCCCTTTCAAGAAAAAAAGGGGGGTTATTGTCAAGTAGATAAAGTTAGTCCAATTTTCGACCAATCAGAGTGCAGCGAAGTTTGAATCATAACAAAGGTGGGTGGATTCGTTCAGGAGACTGGTCTGTTGGAGAAGAAGCAGCAGTGGTACCAGGAACAGCAACTGCTCATGACTAAGGCGGAGGAGGAGGAGTATCTGGCTTACTGTTCAGACGCCATGTTCAGAATACACATCCTCGAACAGAGACTCGCAGCACACAAGGCCAGTGCCCCGCAGAAGTACAAAAAGTGAGTCATTCCACGTATAATGGTTATTCATTCGTTTTGAAGGGGAGAAAACAAATAAATTCTTAAATTCTAAACAACAAGTAGCAAACTGAATCAAAAATTGATGAAAAAAAAAACAGTATGAATCATACTCGACACCATCTCATATTTATTTATGGTGCCAGCGTGAAAAAAATATATTTAATTTTTTCAAAGTATTCTTTGCATTGAGACAGCACCAAACAGTTTTTTTATTTGCCTCTAATTTTATTTCGAATGAATCGCATCAAGGATAAATGACCTGGAATTTGAAACACGACATGAAAAAAATTCAACCTGAAAAATTCAAAACCAGTCCCGAAGTCAATCACGAAAATTTCAATACTCGTCATAGATTTCGGTTTTTCTCAAATAATTTTTTGATCTCTTTTAGATTGGAGGAGAAATTGATGTCAGATCCAAGACTTGCCAAATACATCGCCAGATGAATTAAAGTTGACTAGACAAAGTTGACAAAACTCCTCGTGACTTTGCCGAAAGTTGATAGCAACAAGTTCACTTGACTATGAAGATTAGAATTGTTTTAAATTATCAAAAAATTAGAAAATCATCGCAAAATCTGATATTTTTTGAAAGCAATCATGAAAAAACGTCTGGTTCGTTTGGCGTCTAATTAACCATTCATAATTGATGTAGATTTTTTATTAGTTTGGGAAAACTTGTTATTACAACTTTGGCAGCGTCAACTTAAACCTTCGGAAACAGGAAAATATCTTGACATTAGCTCACCCTCGATGCTCAAACATATCAGATAATATCTTAGTTTTACCAGTCCAAATTGGCACATGTGTTTTGTAAAAACCCATGATCAATGTAAAACTGACAATGGCTTCAATTCTAAATCTTTATTCCGTATCTTTTGTTTATACTAGCTGAGAACGAAATAAAACAAAGATAGCACAGAATGTTCTGACCATACGCTTAAAAAAAGAATGTTCTGACCATACGCTTAAAACAAAGAATGTTCCGATCAAAAAAATCAGTTTTGTTTGTGCGTGCTTTGAATGCAAGAAAAAATTTTAGGTACTTCTAATATTCATAGTAAAATAGGCATGCTAGAAAAGTTTTATTCAAAAAATAACTTATAAAAAAACTATTATTTTCTTAAATTTTGCATAAGATGGAGCTATAAAATCTTTTTGATAGCTTCATTTGCTAAACTTATAGAGCTGGAATGAGTGACTAAGTTAATTTGCTAAGTTCATGGCCTGTTTACTACTAATCTGCGACTATTTAAGCCCCCTCACCCTTGAAACACATATGCACACAGATTTTCTTTCGATCTACATCTGACGCAATCTGAGGCCAATACACCAATATACTGTAGGTCGTAACCTATTGAGCCAATGAAAAGGAAAGGGTGTTACAAAATATGGCATTCAATCAAGTTGTTGTTGTGGAATTACAACCAACGAACAAATTTTGAATAAGAAGCATATTTGAAATACTAACAAGAACAAAATTTGTTATTTGCGATAAATTTGTTGCCAACAAAAGCGTGCAGGATGAGATTCCAGGTGAGTCCTGTAAATATAGTTGGTAACGGAAAAAGTCTAGTAGATGGTTACAACAGGCTTCAGACTTGTTAACGGGCCGCCATAATTGAGGCCCGGCCCGGCCCGATATAATTCAAGTCGAGCCCGTTGGCGGCCCGATAAACAGGGAATTTATTAAATATCGGCCCGTTGGGGCCCGTTGCTGCTTTTTTGGTAAAAAACAAATTTGTTTCAAAACAATTTTAATTAACTGTTTTACTTATTTATAAAGACCTTTTTTAAAAGCCATGGAAACCATTTCAATTGCTTCAACGGTTGTAGGCGAAAGTTTTGCCCGTCTTTCGGATACCGTCAGACCGCAATCAGAGTTGGTCAGTAACATAACATTGGTTAGTGAATAAAAGTAAGGCCCGTTGGGGCCCGTTGACAAAAGTGAAAACCTCGGCCCGGCCCGTTGAGGCCCACGGGCGGCCCGGCCCGTTGACAAGTATGACAGGCTTACTATTGCAAATGTTAAAATCTAAGAAACGGTTAAAAATTATCTAGTTGTTGCGCTACACTTGTCTCAAAACTGAAAAAAAAACTGACTTTATTTTCACGACAGATATTTTATTCGTTTTATAAAATTATTTCAGTTTTAAGAAATATCAATGGTTGTCGTCGAACAACATCAATGTCGTGAAAACTAAGTCTATTTTTTCAGTTTTCAAACAAGTCGAATGGATAGTGTTTCGAGCTTTATTTAGATTTTCACATTTGCAATCGAAATCATGTTGTAACCAGTTCAAAGAATTTTTTCCCGTAATTAACTTGAATTAACTTACTTCACCTGGCCTAAGATGTTTTGTTTGCGCAAAGATTAAGTGCTACAAAACCATACCGGATGAGGTTGACTGTAATTTTGTTTAAAGCACTTTTAGTCGCAACTTCTTAACTTCATAAATTTTTTCGCGTTTTGAAAAAAACATCGTTAATAAAAGTTAAGAACAACAAGGTTAAGAAATTACGGCTAAAAGTGTTTCAAAACAATATATCAGTCAACCTCATCAGGCGTGATTTTGCAGTACTCAATTTTGCGCGAATAAAATACCGAGAACTTTGATTTTTTGAAATTCTGTGATTGGATCAAAAAGAGAATATATGTTGCAATACAAATAGTAGTGAAAATTAACCAAACTTAATAATAATGATGTAACTCGACCACATTATGCAAGAAACTCTGATTTCATTCTCGGATCTTTTCATTTTAAGATAAATTAATGTTTTGTCATTTTTGTGGAAAGGATAACAAGTTTTTGAACTTCTAACTTCAAAAGACGAACTGTTACTGAAATCTTTTTAATTTTCATTGAGCAACGTTATTTACAAAGAGAGTTTTTGTTTCGTTCCTTTTTCTGGAAAATACATTGCATGTTTTTGCAATTTGACTTCCAGCTTATTTCAGTTCCCTTCATCTATTTGTAAAAAGAGCGGCAAATTTCGCTCTCTATTATTATAAGAACGACTGCCAATAAAAAAAAATGAATGATTCCAAATTTCAAAAGCTAATTTCTTTGTTCAAAATTCCCAGCAAAATAAAAAAAAAATTGTTGATCCAGTGCTTCATTTTGGGTAATTTTTTCAACTAAATGTCAAGTATTTGTACACTTCAAGGAGCCTGAAAAAACGATATAAAAATCTTTAAAATTTATCAAAATTTTTCAGTGTTTTTCCTGCGTTCATTGACACGTTTTCATTGGATGATAAAGCCTTCAGGTACATTATATAGTGCCAAAAACCTATTCTAGGCCGTAATCACTTCCCAGTCAGGCATAGTGATCGGAATAAAAAATAATAACCTTTTGTAGGTGTGCAAGTTGCCTTTAAAGTCTCTTCTGACCACAAAGAATACAGTTTTATCTAATGGTTTGACGGGTAAAAAAAGTTCTTGAAGCAAAAAATGTTTCTCATGAAACTTTCAGTTTTTTCTATTGCTGGCATACCTAAGGCATGAAATCATTAAAATGTATTTTGCTTAATAAGTGTTGAGTTTTTTCGTTATTTCGTATGAATAAATTTTAGACTAATTTTTTGTATCGCTTGACTCAAAACAACGAAGTTGTACTCAAAATTGGCATCAAAGGTAGGACGTTTCGGAAAAAAAAGCAACTCGATTTTAAAATAGGGTTGTCTCTTGCAGTTATTACAGTTTGTAAATTGCAACATGTTTTCGAAAAAAAAAAATTTGAAAGTAAGCTATCATAAAACTTAAGCCTTTCAAGTCTCTCTCACATAAAACATTGCTTATGTTTGCTTAATCTGAACATCCGAAACTCTTGTTGGGTAGAGGGAATAAATTTCTTGCGAGAGGACACAACTTAAAAATTGCGAGAGGTCACAACGCGTTTTTCGAATCATAATTTTTCAAAACATGACCTAAACAGCTTTTTGGTCTTATTTTCCAAAGCTTTTCTGCGAAGTAAAGATATTTTTGGCAAATTAAGATTTCTTGTGTTAACTCGAAAAATCAATTTGTTCGACCTTAAACCAGGTCGAAAAATTTTCCAAAAAATATGTCGACCTAATATGGGAACCCTTGATCCTACATTTGTCGAAATTTGTTTTTAAATTTAGTTTTCTCTGAAGAGCGAGCCAAATTTTCAATTTTTAAATGTATTAGTTGAAAGGTTGTTGCTTTATTTATATTGCAGCTCAGTATTATATTTAATTCATACTTTTAGCCTGAGGGCGAGGCAAGAAGTTAGCCCGGAAAAATATCCAATGAAAATTGCATGTACACTCAAAAGTTGAGGTAGAATTACTTTAAGTCACTTAAAGTAAGTGGTTTTTAAGGTAAAATTTACCTCAAGTCTACCTTAAATTACTTAAGGTAAATCTGTACCTTAAAAAGTAAAGGTAACTTAAGGTAAGTTCAGGTAATTTTTGCAAATTTTTTGGAAAAACTATTTCGGAGGTAATTTTTTAATTTAAAAAAGTTAAAACTTTCTGATCACGTTTAGAGCAATTCAGTGTAGTACAAGTATTTTCAATTGTAAAAAAGAACCAGTATAAAATTAAAAAAGTACAAAATGATCGCACATTAAAAGTTGAGGTGAAATTACCTTGAATTTTACCTTAAGTTGCCCCAAGTTTACCTTGGAAATTTACCTTAACTGTTAATGTGAATACACAGTTAAGGTAAATTTTCACGGTAAATTTGGGGTAACTTAGTGTAAAATTCAAGTTAATTTCACCAAGTGAGGTTGAGGTGAGTTAAGGTAATAGTTTAAGTGGCTTAGTTAAGGTAACTTTTTCAGCTAAACTTGGGGTGACTTAAGGTAAAATTTCAGGTTGTTCCCCACAAGTTTTAAGGTAAACTTCAGGTGACTTAAGATAGTAGTTAGGTGACTTGAGGTAAAGTTAAGGTGAGCACTTTAACTGTTGAGGTAACTTAAGGTAGTTTTCAAAGTAAATTTACCTCACTTTTTTTGGTACATGCAATTTTCAGCGCAATTTTAAACAGGGGCACAAGATCGGTTCACTGTGTAGAGCTGAACAGGTCACATGCTGGCTCTCTCTGTCGTGGATAAATGGTCCTAATTGGGTCCTAAAGTATTCTGAAGATCTTATTTTTGATTTTAAAAACTGTTGTTGTCACATGACTTTTCGATGAAACTTTGGAAAAAAAAATTTTGGAAAAAAAAATGCCATACGATTGAATGGCGCACCAAAAATGTTTCCAGGCACCATTTTGTTCAAACTCAGCATGGTAGTACAAAACTATAAGTCCTTCTACGGGGCACCGATATGTTTTAAAGCGGCACCATGTGTAATTTTTTCATCAACAGAACTGCTCTTTGTGCTACTTGACTGTTTTAAAAATTTAAATGACAGTTAATAACGCAGTTTAATAAGATACATTTAGTTTCATTTATATCTAGCCACAAAATGGCTTCCAACACAGGAGGTGGTATGAACTGGTAAGTAATAGCAAATTCTAGAATGGTTTGACTAATTTGCGGACCCCGACTAGGAGTTGAGGTGTCCATACCAATTTTGATAAAATTAATTTAATCATTTTTAATTTAGATATAATAACGCATTAGTTTCTTCCAGTTTTTTTCCAATTTTTTCAGACTCTCAGCTCAGCGCTGTGAGACAACTTGGTTGCTTGTATTTAACGATGATTACTTTCGCATCAAAAAATAGAATGAAAAGTTTCGACTATAACGAAAAAAGCGCAATGTATATTTCTTGAGTGCTGGGCCCTGACAAAAATGGTTTTGGATCGATTTAAATTTACTCTAAATGGTGTTTCTAGTACCTCTAAGCTGATCTTATTGATTGCGGCCTTGTTTGGAGTGGGACTGGTTGTGTTAGTACACAAAGCAGACGAAATAGATCGAGACAGACAACGACAAGTAGGGACTATAAAGATTTGTTCATCTAGCTTTTTGATTGAGTTTTCCAAACGTTCCAAATAGTTTTTTGTTTCCAAAGTTCAAAGATTTGTTCATCTAGCTTTTTGATTGAGTTTTCCAAACGTTCCAAATAGTTTTTTGTTTCCAAAGTTCAAAGATTTGTTCATGTAGCTTTTTTTTGAGTTTTCCAAACGTTCCAAATGTTTTTTTGTTTCCAAAGTTCAAAGATCTGTTTATATAGCTTTTTGTTTGAGTTTTCTAAACGTTTTCCAAACAGAAAAGAGAACGAAATTATGGCAAGCATTTGGTTAATCTTTATTTTTGCGGCGGTAATTTAAAGTTTGAGAAATGATATCTCATATTGCTAAAAAACGATCATACGGATTTTATACAAACTTGGTATTACAATTTGACAGAGAGAAGGAAACTCATCTGAAGGCAATGTTACCAACAATATTGGGAATGGCGATCAAGTGTTCTGCACAGAAAAAGGGTGCGGAGTGGTGGGGTACAAAAGAGAGTCCCACGTGCACATCAAGGGACATCTTGAGTGGTGTGATAACAACGAAGCATCTGGAGCTGATTGGCTAGAAAGGGTAGGAAAGTTACTACCCAGTAAAATTGTATCTAGTTTATAAACAACCCCCCTTCCTGTACGGTCACCAACCCCTCCCCCCTACTATTTTCTGCCCGCATCTGTAACTGTACATACGATTTCAACCTGTGCTATTTTTTTGAAATAGTTCATAATAGATGAACCTATTATATAGCATCTCCCTATATATCTCCCTATAGTATTGCCCTATATGTTGAAAACAACAGCAGATTATAAAATGGCTTCGTGTCCTCAACTTGTTCAGATGTCCTTCCATTAACCACATTTTACAGATCCATGTACACTACAAATAAACAAAACCAGATTTCTGGACCCATTTATTACCTAATAATAATCACAAAAAAATTAAAAAAAAACATAAATGCGTTTAGGGTATAAATTAATTTTAGGATGAAATTCTAGAGTAAACTGTATAATTTGCCAGATAGAGATGTGGGATTCTGACAATTTCCTGCACGGAGGTGACGACTACATGGGGAAGTGTGAAGCAGATGTCTTCAACCATCTCAACTGCCACTATGTCGGTCCAGTTCTTCTGGAGGGATCCAGCTACACCAACCCACCTGATATCTACTTCAAGTTCTACCCCATTCGTCATGTTTGCCAACGGGCAGGAGGTATTCTAGTTACTTTCGGGACAGCTCAAACACAAATAAAGCAAGCGAAGCAGAAACATTAAAAGTTTAGGGTGAGAGGAAGGGGGGGGGGCAGAAGCAAAATAATTTGAATCAGGGGCGGATCTAGGATTTTTTCGAGGGGAGGGCGGATTTTCAAAAAAATTTCGAAAATTTTGACGACCTTTTTTTTTTAGGTCGATCAGATTGATTTTCCGAGCTCTCCCAAAACATTAAAAAGACCCTGCTTTGGCCAAATTTTCTGCGCCGCAGGCAATTTTTTGAAAAAACAGGTCAAAAAAGCCGTTTCAAAATATGTATATATTGGCTCCGAAGGCGCCTTTAGAAAAATTTTAGGGTCGGTCGGCCAAAAATGAATTTCTTAAAAAGTACCAAAGGGGGGACCCTTTGGGTTGGCAGGGGGTCGAATCCCTGAGGCGGGGGGGGGGCGTCCGCCTCCCCCCTAAATCCGCCCCTGATTTGAATATTTACGATCAAAATTTGCGCCAAAAAATTTGGTTACGAAATGGAGTATTTCAGATACGCGATATTCTAGATAATATCAGACTTTTATAGCCTCGGTCACCAAAATAAACCCCCCCCCTTGAAATTACTGTAAGTGGGCTTTGTTTCTTTTTTAAAAAAAATGGATTCAAGGAAAGTAGCATGTAATATACTACGTTTCTCGATCTGAAAATTGGAAATTAGATTGTTAGAAAATTAGATCTGTTAACACACAACAAAACTGTTCGTATCAGGGCGAAGCCCTGAACGTTCCGACTGCCTTTTAAGGTTTATGGAGTAGTAATAACAAGAAAAAATTAAAAGTAATAAAAAAAATGAATTTTTTTTTCTAATATTTGAAATTTTTTAATGAAAATCATCCTCCCATACGTCTTATAAAGTACAAAAGGATAGATTTTGCTCATTATAACAAATCAATTATGGCAAATAAGCTTCTTTCAACCACCAACTTGGAACGATTTCTAAGATGGATTAAATCTCCGCTTACGCGTTAATAGCGCGAAATTTATCGTGCGTTAATTGTCCCAAGTTGGCCAAATTGGCAATCTTTAAACAATCATTACTTTAAAAAAATGATCACAGGTAAAATATCTTTTCAAATTTGAGCTCAACACAACAACATCTTTCGGCTGATGCAAAAAAACGTCAAAAATGCTGCTAAGCGTTAAAAAGTCGAAATTTGTCTGAAGAAAACCCAAATATTCGTATCGAAAGTCGGAACAAAAATGCGAAAAAAGCCAAGTTTACGCACAGATAAGTTTGCTTTTGTATGTTTCGAAATTAGTCTCAGTGCGTCTAGTATAAGTGTTTCCTTTAAAGCAAAATAAACTAATCCTGAACCATGCTGTAATGATTTGGCTGTTTTTAATATTGTTCCGAATTTCGAAGAATGTGACAGAATATTATATCGCAGAATAGCGATACATTTTGCGCTATTAACGCGTAAGCGGATATTTAATCCGTCTTAGAAGCCGTTCCAAATTGATTGAAAGGAGCTTATTTGTCATAATTTATTTGTTACAAGGAGCAAAATCTATTGTTTTGTACTGTATTTGGCGTGTGGGGTGATGATTTTTTCACAAAAAATCTCAACTGTAAGAAAAAAAAATTATTTTATGTTATTACATTTAATTTTCTTATTGTTTATAGCTCCATAAACCTTAAAAAAGGCAGTCGGAACATTCAGGGCTTCGCCTTGATACGAGCAGTCTTGTTAAGTATTATCAATTTTATTCAATGTTTTGTTTTCATATGGAAAAAATTTTAATTCAAAGCGGAGATCAACTTGGGTAGGTTTCACTTATCCTTTATGCATAGATAAACTGATTGAATTGAAAATGAAAAAGATATCTCAAATTGGAGCAACGCCTTGAATGTTCCTACTGCCCTTTAACGCTTTTGAAGTAGTGATCAATCTAATAGAAAATGATAAAAATTTTAGAAAAGAAAGATGTTTTTAGTTGATTTTCTTGGAAACGATTCCACCACACCGTTTTAAATACAAAGTGAACAATTAAAATTAAAGAACTTAATTAAATCTAACATTTAGCAGGCCATTCTTTAAGTTGGAACAATTTCTAAGCCAGATTAAATAGCCGCTTAGCGTTAATAAAACGAATTATATCGCGCTTTAATTGTCACAAATTGGCAATGTTTGAAACCCCATAACTTCACAAAATTTATCACAGATGAATTACTGTTTTGAAATTCAGCTCAAGACAACGATAGCTTTCAGATGGTTTAAAAATCAACCAAAAAAGAAAAAGACGTAATCGGTTGGTTTGCGCATTGCATAATTGCATAAAGACTCCTATAGTATATAAAACTTTGATCTGTTTCGTATTGTCTGAATATCCCGAGGAGTCAATAATCTTGATTGTATATCGTTTTTTAAATACAAGCATACCGTTTTTTGAATGCAAGCAATTGCAATAAGAAAAGTACTATGGCTTCATTAATTTCTGAAACTTTATAGAATTGTTTTAACTGTCATATAAAAAAAAGAAATTATCTCTTAAATTATTAGAGACTGCAGCGTTGTAGTTTCCGAGATATCACAAGTTCTACTACTTTTTTTATTCAAAAATTGCGAGATTTATAATACATATTATAAAAAAGTTGGTTTAAATGATTGAGGGCGCAGATTAGAACTGGAAACGTAATTCAACACACCAGGTTTTAACTTAGGTTCGGGGTCGATTATTGAAATATGATGCTCTGAAATCTTCTGATTTTTGGGAAATTTCTCAAACAAGTTTTTAAATTGAGATTTTAAAAAATGTGTCTTTTTAATTTTCATGAAGCCTAACCTTTCGATGCAATCATGTTAGTACAAGCTTCTCTGTATGCAGCTTTCAACGTTCGAAACCCGAAAAGCTGCTTTTCTTCTGTTGTTTATATATTAATAATATGATTACTAATAATAACTCAAAATTTGAATTTCAAGAGCACGATTATCTTTCTCAAAGGTAGACTTGCAATGGGCATCTTTATTAGTGCCCTTTGTCCATTTGCTCTAAGTTTACAATAAATGTAATACTCAAAAGTGGGTGAAATTAATTATCGCTGTTTTTTATTTTGCAAGTCTTGAAGAGTATTTTTGTCTTCTTCCTTTGCAGCGGAATCTGGATGTTTCTTCTCCACGAATGATTACATAATCACTCCCGATTTCGAAGACGCCAAAAATTGTCATGTGCCATCTTCATTAGGAATCATATTAACCGACAAGACACGTCTGGACAGTCTGGAACCCTTCCCCCATTACTTTGAACTGGATGCTACCAGGAACTGGGTAGTCTGGAAATGCTACGTGGTGCTACTTTTGAAAGAACGATTCCCTGAATTCTGTTGATGCCGGTTTTCTAGCAAAATGAAGTACTGAAAACATTTTGTATTTCAGAACTCAAATCCTAATGACTAGTTCTTTTTTAACTGTTATCTCACTATCTAACATGCAAGGATCTAGGATTTTTAAGAGATTTTCGGGTTTCTTAGAGTTTTATAGACATTGTTTTAGGCTGGTTAAAATCATTTCCGAGCTATGTAAGTCACCAAATAATTATATCTTGCGAACTAACCATCACTTCAGCCAAAAAGTCATCTGCGGAAAAATTCAACTAAAAACCTTTTTTGGCGCAAGGTCCCCTAAAAACGATGGCGCCCAAAGAAAATTTTGAAAAAAAATTAGATGCATTCTGCCACAATTAATGTCATAAATTAGTAAGTTTAGTCATGTAGATTTTTGCGACGGACTGTTGAAAGCATTATTGATTTCAAAATCTTAAATTACTATTTTTAAATGTTGAGTTTTTTTGATAATCAATATCAAAAATGATTTTTCAATTAAAAACGCTTGGGGTGGAAACTTTTCTTTAGTAACGAACTACGAAATCTGAATCAAAAGGTATTTGTTATTTTCCTGGAGATAGTAAACGTTTAATACCTATTTTGATCAAAATTGCGTTTAAAATAATGGAACCAAATCAATTTGGTTTTGTTATTTTTATACGAGTCGCTAAATACATCCTTTTAAATAGCGTTTGGAGATATGAAAAGAAGTCAAAAATGATTTTGAAACCATTCATTGTTATTTTCTTTTAAATGTTTTATCAATGTTTTAAAGCGAAAAAGTTTTTTGTCGCAACTGTAAGGACACGAACAAGCCATTCGATGAGCAGCTAAAGCTTTATTTGCTATCTAATATTTTTTTTCAAACACCACCACAGATTTTATTTTTTCAGTTTAGCTTCGTGATTTAACCTAACCGACAATGCTAAATAAAAAAATAGTATAAGTTAGTATCTTAAGGCGGCGATGGTGCCGCTTACTGGTTGACAGACTTGGTTTCATTGAAAATGCCAACCAGAACTACCCAAAATTATATAATAGAAAAAACTAAGGGTACAAAAAAGTAAATACTGCCAATGGGCAATTTAAAAGCTTGATTGATTGCAATAAAACAAAATACCAGTTTCATAAGGTTGAGTTGTATCAACAATTTACATCAACAGCATAAAAAGCTCATTCAATAGAAAATTTTTCATTTTCTTGATCGCACATTTATCTATGCGCAATATTTTGCGTAAAATAAATTTTTGTAACTTAACACCTTATAAAATTGAAAAATAATTCATGAAATTGAAACAGACGAAGTAAAATTGAGCTTGAACAATTATTGCACTTTTTTTCTGGAGAAAAGAAAGACGCTTTTGAATTATAACTTGATGCAGTGAATGAAGCCTGTTTCCGTTAATTGCTTAAAATGAACAAGTTGTCATGGTTGCCAAAAATAAGGAAATTCAGCAATTTATTTTTAAGGGCCAATTATTCTCAAAGTTTTTAGAATTACCAAGCTTTCTTGAACGCTTCAGTTTGAATTTTGCTAGCTTATATTTTTTCAAGAAACAGGACGGCAAAACCGCAGATAATTTACTTACATTCAACAATTGCTGGACGGCCAAAAAATTTTCAAACATAACAGGACGGCCAAAAAACGGTAAAACCCTAGATCATTTAGTTATATTCAAGCATTCATTTTTCTCAAAAAAGGTTTTGCTAAGGTGCGAGTAGTTTTTCTATAAATTATATATATAAAAAAAATGGCACTTAATTATTAAATTGGAGGTTTGTTTAAAAAATTTTCTGTCTGATAGAACTCTCGTTTTGGTTCTTGATTAATACGAGTAGCTCTGTTTTTACAACCACAATTATGATTTGGATTGTTTTTTGGTCATTTATCGATTTTTTAAATAAGCGCTTTTGACGAAAATTTTTATACCCTCTGAAATTTATTGCTGTCCGGACCTTCAAAGCAAAATATATTTTTTCAGAGATAATTTTTCAAAAACACTGGGGTTTGAAATTCGCAAATTTGACCACTTAGCGACTTCGACATACATACTGCGACATCGACTACTTGTAACACGCGCTCTTGAATCGAATTATTCCGAAATGAATTAACGCTAGCCAGTTGGTTTCATGATTATGATATGAGGCGCTGAATACATTCCTGCGTATGAGGGATATAAAGAAGTCAAAAACGAAAGAGAAATTATTCTGTCCACCTCAAAAACAAACTCCTCAAGCATACATGTTCCTCTTTTTTTCGAAAGTCGGATCAATCAGATAAAGCTGATAATATTAGATATTTTGCAGATATATCAGTGTAAATTTACCGCACCTACTTTGCAATGAACAAAATAAACCAAAATTTAATTTAGATTTAAGTTTCGAAGCAGATACAATAAAAATTGTGTTGTGTAAACATTAATGCAATAATAAATTGCACATTCATTAATCCAAGTAAGCTTAATTTCATAAGGGATAACGAACAAATTTCGAACTGCAGATCAAAAATTGTTTTTCTAAATTCAGTTCAATCAACTTGCACCTAAAAGTTTTTAAAACATGCATAAGAAAAACCTATGTAAGTGTGGACAGTTTGAGCCGTGAATAGTTTCCTCAAATTACTACAAGCAACCAAAACATATCAGCGCTTAATTTGAAAACTATTAATTAAGTACCAAGAAAATAATTGAACTATTCAAAAAAATTTAATTTATGAGTAGTAAAAAAAACATAATTCCTAAAAGCTATTTGAAGTCTAAGAACTTTTCATGATTGACAATTTTGAAACAGAACCTACCCAAGTGAAGAAAACTGGATCTATCGACATTTTTTTATAAGAAAAATTTAAAAACTCAATCAATTGAAAAATTTAAAAACTTAATCTCTCCGGAAAAATTCGATGACAATTTGTAGCGAGCAAAAAAGTTGTCGCAATTTATAAACAAAGCTAGCAGACTCTTGGAGAAATTTATATGATCTAAAAACAACAAAAATGAATAGTTTCTAAGAATTTCGAATTTTCTCAATTTCGGCAAAAAATCACAATAGAACTCTTTGAGTTTCCAGAAGCTTTTGAGTGATTTTTTATTAAATTTACCTAATTTTTGGATTATTCCCATTTTTTTATTCCTCGTAAAAACTTTAAAAAACCTTAGTTAGATTATATTTTTTGGACCGATTCCACTTTCGCAGTTCATTGACACTACATATCGAGCCCACAGACCTCTAAGACATGTCTTTTGGTTGCCACTTAAGGCTAAATCAATTTACTTGGAATTAGTTTTCCATTTATCAGGTTAAATTACTCTTTGAAGAATTATAGACTTTCCAAATGCTACTTATAGTCTCCTGCCGCCAATTTTCCCTTCAAAGCTAAAATCTATCTTTGGGACAAAACTAATTGTAACTTATTCTGCCATTTACATCTTTCTCCCTGGAGTACTTTGTCTAAGAAAAGCAATTTAGTTTAGAAAATGATTTGCAAGTGAACTTGAAGAGGTCAAAGCTCAAACCGCGAAAAACAACTATTGAGCGTAAGCAAACTTCAAACTTTTTCCTCGAATAAAAAAACAACGTGACCAAAACTTTTTGCAAGCTCTTGCATGTAGTTCAATGCGGAATCTTCCAAAAAATTGACTGCTCATAACTGTGAACAAGTTCCACTGATTAATTGTAATTAATGTATTTTAAACAGTCAACTTTACCACTTCTACTTTTAAAAACAATTAAATTATCACTTTTATCAATTACGACAAAATCTCAAACTCAAATTTCAAAGAAACAAATAGATGCCCAAAAAAACTAGAACAAAATATGATTGACACTTTTTGATTAAATTATCCCCATTCGAGAAAACTGGATCAAGAGGTAAACTTTATTTCGCTTGGAAATTCGATAACAGATTTCACTTTCAAAACCAGAAGTCGATCACATTTTTCTTGACCTTTGTCCTTTCGCTGTTCGATAGTGAATTTTGTCTTCCTTTTAACGAAGGAAATGCCCTGATTTTGAAAAAATTAAAAGTCAAACCGCGAAAGTAAATTTGAGCCTGAACTAATTTGACATTTCAAATTTAACTTTCGTGAAAAAAATGACAAGAAAATCATCGCAACATATATAAGAGTCTCAACTACGTTCATCGACTCTTAATCACTGACAGACTCATCAAAATTTGGTAGGCTGTCGTCTTAACAGCCTTTCAGTAATTTTACCGGGATAAAGTACCTAAAATTTAGCTGATCTTCTGATAGTCAAAACAAATCATTTCGAGCTCTCCTGAAACTCCCATATAACCCATTCGCTTTCAAAACGTTTGTGTCGCAAATGGAAATGTGAGCAGTCCGTTTTTTTAATACCCTGCGGCAGGTGACAAGTAAAATTACAAGAATAGTAAAAAAAAAGACATATCGGGGCGAAAAGCTACATCTGTTTGTGTAATGCAAAAAAAACTTTTCACCTGAGCGACCTGACCTGATATCGTAGCTTTCCAATTCCATTTAATTTAAAAAAAAATCAAAGCTTCACGGTTGAATATATCAAATTTGTCCGCTATATTTTGATAGCACATGCATTAAATTTAACCATCGAAACAATTTATGCAATTTAAAAAAAAAAACGATAAAAAAATCATCGCGACCTATCTAAGAGTCTAAATTATGTTCATCGACTCTTAATCACTGACAGACTCATCAAAATTTGGTAGGCTGTCGTCTTAACAGCCTTTCAGTAATTTTACCGGGATAAAGTACCTAAAATTTAGCTGATCTTCTGATAGTCAAAACAAATCATTTCGAGCTCTCCTGAAACTCCCATATAACCCATTCGCTTTCAAAACGTTTGTGTCGCAAATGGAAATGTGAGCAGTCCGTTTTTTTAATACCCTGCGGCAGGTGACAAGTAAAATTACAAGAATAGTAAAAAAAAAGACATATCGGGGCGAAAAGCTACATCTGTTTGTGTAATGCAAAAAAAACTTTTCACCTGAGCGACCTGACCTGATATCGTAGCTTTCCAATTCCATTTAATTTAAAAAAAAATCAAAGCTTCACGGTTGAATATATCAAATTTGTCCGCTATATTTTGATAGCACATGCATTAAATTTAACCATCGAAACAATTTATGCAATTTAAAAAAAAAAACGATAAAAAAATCATCGCGACCTATCTAAGAGTCTAAATTATGTTCATCGACTCTTAACTATCAGCTCAATAAAAAGACATCAAATGAATATTTATTGAAATCAACTTAAACAGAATAATTGTTTTTTTTTTCAAAAACTGCAACATTATCATTAGTCTTGCCAGCCATCTTTTTCAGGCTCGGGTTCGTCGTCTGAGACTTGGTTAACATTTGATTTGGGTGTCCTCTCCATCTGTTGATTTACTTTCTGGTAGGTAGCTAGAGCCTAAGCAAAATTAAAATCTTATGCATTATTTTTTTTCAACGATATGAAACGCTAAAGAGAAAATTTTGCATCAAAATCATATAAACATCATTAATAATTAGTTATCAAAATGTCAATGAAATTGGTTCTTTTTCCTTCCCCCCCCACACCTCACATCAGCATCAGTTTGATGGTGTAATGAGGGTTTTACAAGGTTATTTACGAAGACCAGATATGTTTGTCATGGCCTAATTAGTTAGCATGTCAATTTTCATAAGCATCGGTTGGTGGGAACAGTTTAAAAGGAAAAAGTGCAGGTGGGTTGGAAAAGGAAAAAGAGCCACGAAATTAAATTAAACCGAAAAAATGGTTGTCTAGGATAAAATTTTTGAATAAAAAATCTACTACAATGAATTTTCAAGAATATTTTATGATCAGTAGCGGACTTAAAGAGGGGTGGGGGGGGGGGGGGGGGAGAGAAGCTGCTTTTTGGTACCATTTTAAGAAACTCATTTTTGGCTAACCTTTAGCGCCAATATATAATAATTTTGAGGGGTAGCGCGCTCCATTTTCCAAAAAAGACCTTTGTGGCATGTTTTTATTCAAAAAAATTGCCTGTAGCGCAGAAAATTTGGTCAGACTAAGGTCTTTATAGTGATTTGGGATAGCTCAAAAATAATTTGGCCGACTTAAAAAAAGGTCGACAAAGTTTAGTTGTTTTGAAAATCTCATGTCCCCTCGAGAAAATCCTAGATCCACGCAAAAGTAGCCCAATTAGACAAAATTGGATCAACAGGTATTATTTTTTCCCGCTAAGATATAAACTGGGCGACATTGGAAACGCATCATACAGATTGAGCTCATTGTTTTTGTCAAAATAAAAAATGTTTTGGAATATGGTAATTTAAAGTAAATAGGCGCTTTTAAAACAAATTAGATCACATTTAAGCAACTACTTCGACATTGATTCCATACTATTTTGGTGTTTCTTGGTAAGCTAGATTGAAAATTGTGCTTAAAATTAACCAAAAAACGCCAATTTTGATCCGCATAAAAGGTGTACTGATAGATTATTGTTCATTTTTGCCGCGTTTTGAGATTAAAACTAAAAATTTCTAGGGATGTGTGGCTGAAACTTGGGTCGAAAAAAAATTCGTTCTATGATATAAATTTAGTTACAATTTGAGACATTTCTGTGTGATCCTTACCAAAAAGTACGACAAAATCTATAGCGACATATCAGAAAAGCTCTGAGGATTTTAAAATTCGCACAAAATTTTATTGAAAGCTTTTTTTCCACGTTTTTAATGTTGCACAGAATATAAAAACTTAAATCCACTTTCGAGCTTAAATATCATTCACGTTTCTTCATGTCCGTGTAGTGTAGATCGTGATATTTTTTTCTTTTATGAGTCTCGATGAAAAAAGTCATTTAAACCTATATAAGCGTTTTCACAACGCTCATTGACACTTAAAGTCGCCAAAACGATCATTCGTTTTATACTAATTGCAAGTTACATCAAAATTTTGCATGCAATGCAGATGATTCTAACGGTAGGTATGTAATGATTTTATAGCGTTCAAAAAAATAATGAGGTCGACCTAAAAAAAAAACAAACATAAAATTCTCTCATTGCAAAAAAACGCGTCTAAGTTCACCGATACCAATATGAAAACATAGCCAACAGACAGTTGGAAAAGAGTCAACGAAGACAAGTGAACAAAAAAAAAACAGTTTTGTTTTTGAAAAAAATCTCAACTTTCGAATTTCAAAGAAACAAATTGATACCCTTAACGCTCTTTGAATTTCTAGAACAGTTTATGAATGGCACTTTTTTGATACAAATAACCCAACTTAGAAAAAATTGGATCAGTAGGTATATTTTTAAACCGCTGAGAAATCTGAACATAAAATCCACATTCGAAACTAGAAGTCGATCACGTTTTTCGTGAACTTCACAATTAAGCTGTTCGATAGTGGAGTTTGCCTTCCTTTTAACAAAAGATATGAACTTAGAAAAATCAAAAGTCAAACCACGAAAAGTAAATTTGATCCTGAAAAATTTCTAGGACTTTTCCTGAAAAAGAAACATCGCGAACTATATAAGAGTGAACTACGTTCATCGACTCTTAAAGCTAATCAAGAGACAGTCGTAAGAGTGATGAAATCAAGGAAACAAAAAACGACAGATTTTTTATTATTGTTTCAACAACGAGTTTCATAGAAGATCACTTTAAAATTTAAAATTACTCTTCTCTTCAGATTTTTCATGCGTGCAAATTGATAACTAAATTTCCACTTTCGAAAAATAAAATCATTCACATTTCTAGACGCCATTTGCACTTCTGTTATTGGAGAGAGTAATCTGCCTCCCATTTAGGAAATGAAATTTAAAATTGTTCATACGCAATTTCAAGACTTTTTCCGAATAAACCTGAATTAAAGTAAGTTATTTTCGTTCAATAACACTTAAAATTCATCGTTTTTCTAATAGTACTCATCTGGTTTTTTACTTGATCACTTCATTGGCGAAAATGATTCTGTCCTCTTCTCTCTATATTAATAAAAAAATTTTGAAAGACTTTCAGTTTTATTACAACGACTGAAATAATTCTTCGTAATGCAAAAAAAAACGATCGCGTAAAAAACCCATGGGCCATAGAGTAAGTTCTCCATTCGTAAATGGTCCGGAGAAGAAAAACTAGTTTGAAGAAAATATTTCTTTGTAACTGACCGTTGACACCATTGAAGATATGTCTCCCGTGTTTGCAGGCAGGAGTAGGGTGTTGTTCTCTTGAGCTAACTTGCCAAATGCCTCTATGTATTGCTCTGCAATGGCCAATGAAGCCGCACTCATCCCGTTCTAAATCAACGTAAAAGCCGGCACTTAAAACCAGGGTTGACACGTTTAAAACAGGGTGTTTAAAGCCGTTTTAAAATCGTTTAAAACGGTGTTTCAAAATTATTTTAAAACAAAGCTATTTTTGCGGTGTCTTTAAAAATATTAGGACGGTAATATCTTTTAACAAATAAGCCGCTATATGATAGTTTCTTTTGACCGGCAGATGTAAGGTTTGCAATGATGTTTTTTTTTGCATCCAAAATTCAGAGGGGATCTAAATCCGCAATGAAGAAAGCTATGGTGTAGGTTTTTGAAAATTGCCCCGAAGTCTGAGATGAAAATACTACATATTTCAGTGGATAAAAATTTTCTTGTAGTAAAATTGTTGTGAAATGAACCTTGTTTATAAAAATGAACCAGATTATTGAGTAAAATGTTTGTAAAAAATACTTCATGCATAAGAAGCCGTTCATAAAATCGAATAGGCATAAAAATTCATCTTCAAAACTCCAAATCCAAAAATCTAGCCAACTGACAGTTGAAAAAGAGCAATGAACGCAATGAAATAGGAAGGAAAAACCTCTTTATCACCAATTATTTTCTATTTAAAATAAATCACCAAGACCTATATAAGAGTACTCACTACACTCATTACTCCTAATAACTTTTCAATTAGATTGAGTACATACTAACTAAATTTTATAAGTCTACAACAACTTTTTTATTTTTGAAAAACTGAACTTAATTTGGCAAACCCAACATTGAAATATCGGTTTCCCGAGATGATAGTGAAAAAAGTCACGGCAGCAGCAACTGAGAACCGTTTCGCAAATGATCGCAGCAAACTAACAAAATCAAACGTAAATTACCTTCCGTTGAAGTGATTGACTGATGGCTTCTATGCTCTTGGCGCGTGCATTTGCCACATTCAGAATGGCCTCTGCCTGTCCCTTGGCCTCATTAATAGACTCCCTCATTTGAGCCTCACTTCTCAGAATAGTCGACTACAACATCCGAAAAAACCATTAATCTGACGAGATCAAAGTTTCTTAAAACTTTCTTTTATAGATATTTTTGACACCGAATTAGAACGAAAGCAGCGACAAAATGAATTTAAAATCCTTAGCCTTTCTTATTTAGTAATCCGCTTTCATAAACTTTTTACACAGACGTGAAGCTGCACTTCGCATACACAAGCAAAAATATGACCGATAATGCTACTGGGAAAAACTGAATGAGTAAAACTTTGAGTCTACAAAATTTCTAATGTGACGCACGCCAATTATGAGTAAACACAATTGCTAAGTGACGCAAATCAATTATGACGCATTCGCAATACCAGTCAATTTTAAAAAAATATATATACCAACTACCATGCCTCAATTTATAGAGCGGACGCATTTTAAATAGTATACGTAAAATTTCATTAAAAACATCCGTCCCTGCCCAGATTCGAACCCTCTTATTTTGTTGCGGGTCTCCTTCACTACCTCTACGCTATATATCCATGATACCTTGAAGCTAAAGTTCTATTTGTAATATAATATTCGGTGTTAATATCCTTAATATTGGCTTTACTTAATAGCTGGATCAAAATGAGCACTTTCAAAATGAACACATTTTGTGGCAACAATTGCATCGCAACAATATTTGCGACTTAGGTTGGAAAAAGTTCTTAGTATACGACAAGCTATGATTGTGTAATTATTTTGCTCCTAAATCGTACTACAATCTGAGGAATTATCGGCTGCAAATTCATTAGCTGTGGAATTTTTTTTGAAACAAAAATATCCCTCGTTTTACAATTTTCTCTTTTTCTTTGCAATGATAACTGTGGTCCAAACATTCCGTGCTACACCGGCTTCTTGTATTAAAATTATGTAAGTATTGCTTCCCTGGTCAAACCCGCTGGGGAAAAACGGCAAAAAAACGCTTACAAGCGCCACTAAAAAATCTGTACTTTCAACTAAAACTCAAACCAAATGAGAACGACATAAAACTTCTGGCTCATTTAGTCAGAAACTTTCAACATATCTTTATAAAATATTCTAAGAGAGGGACCTCGCTCTCAGGAACACGACCACCCTCGCCACCCAAAGACCCACTAGGACCGAGCCTAAAATGTTTCTAAGAGCACATTTGATGCCAATCTATACCAACTTGAGGGTAGCACAAAAATAGCCCAAAAACTACCTTTTTGTCCCGTTTTTTTTTAAACAATTTGCCAGCTGCGAGAAAAATGTTGTCTATCTAGAATCTTTATGGTGTGAGTGTGTTTTAAGACAGCTCCGAACATCATTTTGGTCGACCGAAAAAATGAAACTTTTGAATTTTTTTTTTAGAAAAATCCGCCCGCCCTTCGATGTAACCCTAGATCTGCCCCTGGAGTACATAATAGTCTCTCTCAAGTTAAGGCTTTAAAAAATTCAACTTTCCTTTGTGGAAGAAACTGATTTCCCTTTCAGTTATAAGTATGATGAAGGATTGCATGAGAAACGCCGAAATTAAAGATCACTAATTTTGTACCGTTATAAAGCACAACTGTTCCCTAGTAACTCATTTATACTTTAGAAACCCAAATATCACACCTGCATCCTTCTTCTTTTAATTTCTCCAAAGTATCAAGTTTTGGCTTATTATATGTTGATCTTAGTTGTTGTGATTTGTTTTTAGTATCTTATAATGACCTTCGGTATTTTAATTAATACCAGTTTAGTTACGACCATCGGTCGATATGAACGGAAGTTCAGTTGTTCTTTTTAACGTTCTTAATTCAACTACTTCCTTTTATCGTTTTAACCTTTAAGCTTATGTACATACTTTGTACATATAGAACCATAGAATTAGAATAGTTTATTATGGCGCAGTCAAATGATTCGAACGTGCGTGGAACTCCCCCCTTTTGGCCTAATCACACTCTAGAGCCATCGCATGCCTGGACCCAATGGAGCGACCAATTCCAATTGGCGATCATTGCGAAAGAATATCTGGATTTAGAGCCTACATGGACCAGAGATACCGGAGACGCAAATTCCAATTTTGGAACAAGCAACAGGCAGCGAGTCGGACGCGGAAAAAGCCAACAGAGAGAGCAGGAACAAAAGCACAATGAAACAGTACGAATAGGGAGCGAAGGAAAAAGAGTTTTTACACAAAAGAACCCGAGAGTCAAGATTCTAGCAATATCGTTCTCTGAGTTCTGGACTTTACTAGACGCAGAATTTAACAAACCGCCCAACACTACGTTCGAAAGATATAAACTACTAAATCTAAAGCAAAAATACCGTGAGTCGTACGAACAATTCTGGGGAGCACTGACGGACCTAGACAGCACGTGCAACATCAAGGAATCTGATGAGGCGGAATGGATAAGGGATATCTTCATTTGCAATATGAAGAACACAGCCACCCAGAGGAAGCTACTTTCAGCTACCATAAACCCGTCGGAAGCACTTAACCAAGCCCTAATCGACAAAAAGGGATATTTTAACCACCAGAAACTGACAAATATGTCACGGTCATCGACCAACGGGACAACTTTTAAATCTTTTAGTAACCACAATCATATCAAAAGGAACCAAGTTTAAACATCGAAAGGAGTAACTCGTGCATGAAATGCGGAAATACATTTACGAAAGGGCACTTAAACGTTTGCCCAGCGAAGGACATAACCTGTAAAAACTGTAATTATAAGGGACACTTCGCCAAATTATGTAAATCACGCAATAAGAGACCAACTGTAAATACTGTATCAGATAATTACGTAAATACCGAGAATTGTACATACACAACTCCGGAAAACTCGTGGATGGAAGAAAAAGAATCGTGCGACGTTATAAATGCGTGGAATGAGTACGGACAGAGCGATGATGACGATTTCTCGGTGCTGAGCGTCAGAACTATTTACGACAATAATGGCCTCGAAACAAAGAAACTCCTGGACCTAGGCATCGGCTGGGATATGATTGTAAATATGAACATACCTGTAGATTCAGCAAGCCCTGTAAGTTTTTTAAAACAGAATGTACTACACGAAATTAAACTAAGATACCCGAACCTCAAGATACACCCAGTGGAGAAAAGAATAAAAGACCTATACTGCGGATTCACCAATGATACGATCAATATTTTGGGAAAAATAATTGTCAGAACACAGTCCAATGGGTGGATCAGCGAAGAAACCCCATTCCTCATAACCGGCGGACACGAGCGGAACATATTGGGGAACGACAATTTACCCAAACTGGGCATAGAAATAACGCAGAGGAAATGCCCCCAACCAATCTGCATGGTCAATCAACCCACACTCGAGAGTGAGTACAAAAACTTGCCTTCTTTATCAGACAAAATTTTCAACGAGTTCAAAAACTTATTCACTAGAGTGGGGAAAATACCTAACGATCGAAAGGTAACCCATTTTCACACACCTTTTAAACCAACACAGTCCAAAGGGAGAAGAGTTCCACTCCACTTACTCGCGGGAATGAACGAAGAATTAAAAAGAATGGAAAAAGAAGGTCACATAATAAAATTAGAGAAATGCGACGAAGATTATTTTATCAGCCCAATTGTAATCACTCGGAAAAAGGATACTTCAATAAAACTGGCACTTGACTCTAAGCTTTTAAATGATCAAATTTTTAAAAATAAGTATCAAATGCCGAACATCCATGAACTGATTGATAACATGGCCCTCCAAATTTCAGAAAAATCCAACGGGCGAGTGTGGTTTAGTAATTTAGACCTGAAAAACGCCTATAGCCAACTTAAACTATGCGATCAAACAAGTAAACAGTGCACATTTTAGCATAGTAGGCGGCGAAACGACCGGAACGTATCGATTTCGAACGGGATTTTACGGATTGGGAGACATGCCCAATGAATTCCAACGGGTCATGGACTCACTGTTGAAAAATATTCTGTTTACAAATTGTTACATAGACGACATCCGGGTAGCCTCGCGTGGATCCCTGGAAGAACACAAATCAATAGTGTACAAAATTTTATCAATATTAGATAAGAATAACATGGCAGTTAAATGGAGAAAATGCGCACTTTTTAAATCCGACATCGAATGGCTTGGCTTCAAGATCTCAGGCGATGGAGTACAACCGTTGGTCGGTAAAGCCGACGCAATAAAAAATTTGCCAACCCCGAACAATATTTCTGAACTTCGTTCATTTTTCGGCTCGATAAACCAATATGTAAAATTCGTCCCTAACTTATCGACGTTAAGCTCCCCTCTTCGACCTCTTCTAAAAAAAATCGTTATACAAATGGGATACTAGCCATTCAATAGCGTTTGAGAAGTTAAAAACTGAAATTGTAAATATTGCAGAAAACAGCCATTTCGATATAAAAGAGAAGACAAGACTGAAAACGGACGCTTCACATAGCGGACTAGGGGCAACCCTAGAACAATTACAGGACGACCAGTGGAAAACAATCGCGTTTGCATCCAGATTTTTAAACAACCATGAAATGAAATATTCGACCAACGAATTAGAGTTGCTGGGAGTCGTATGGGCTACAGAACAATTCAGAAACTACCTGTACGGAACAGAATTCCAAATAGTAACTGATCACAAAGCATTACTATCAGCACTTTCGGCAAATCATGGAAACAAAACGATGCATAGCCGATTGACCCGTTGGGTAAACAGACTTTTACCATTCAATTTTAAAATTTCACATTTACCAGGAAAGGACATGGGCTTTACTGACCTTTTATCTAGACTTCCTTCGGGCAAAGCCCTTCCAATTTCCCATTATGACGACGAATTTGTAGTCGCTTCAATCGACAAAACTCAGAACATTTTATCGACTAAACAAGATTCTAAAATAGTTACTGTAAATTCTGTGGAAAGACCAGCGGTCGCTGTAAATACTAATTCACGAGTTAATACAATCCCGTCGGGAAACAAAAATTCAAGCGACGTGATTGGTCAGAATCGGTTGAATAGCTCTTTAGCTTTACTCAATCTCAAGATTTTTGCTGCTATCATATCTTATATCGCTCAGTCGATAAAAATTTGCCACAATAATCACTCTCGGACAGAAAATTGCACTACAATTTGCCAACCAGTCGATAATTCTAAATTTAATTTTAAAAGTATTACCTTTTAGGACAAAGTCCTTTTACATTTCTTACTACTAAACAGACACTTCATACCATCTAACAAAAAAAAACCAGAACTCCCAATGGACAAAAAGAAAGAAACCCTTTTGATCATTCCCGAAGAACATAATATCGCCCTCAAATTCAGAGACTACAGACTTCCACCCGACCACGCAGACCTCTTAAGAAGATTTAAGGCCGACCTGAATTTACCGAATTTCCCAATTCGCCCGGAAAACCACTGTTCGAAGAAATTGCTTCAGATCGTGACTAGAGAAGACAAGGTGCTGTGGGATTTGATAGAGACGATAAAGAGGAATCGACCTATGGGCATACACGGGACTTACATGAAGAACTACACCAAAGACCTACACGTGAAGGATGAGCTACTCTTTTTAGACAATAAATTAGTCGTCCCATCAGGGGAACTCTTAATTCGATGCTACATGAGACTCACCCAGGACAGTTTGGGATGAAATCCCTCGCCGAATATTTGTGGTGGCCGCATATTTACCGGGAAATTTACCATCACGGGAGAACATGTAGCCAATGTCTAAAAGCGGGTAAGAACATTAAAGTGTTACTAGGCACCCATAATATTTCGAAACTCCCGACGTTGACATTCGCGAACGAAGAAATTAAATTGGATTTTGCGGGACCGTTGGACGCGTGCTGGGGTAACAACAAATACATCCTTCTTTGCATTGACCGTTCAACTAAAATTCCTTCGGCCAAGATCGTCAAAAACACCTCTACAAGAAACGTAATTTCAATTCTAAACGATTACTGTCACCTTCATGGATTCCCAAGAAAAATTAGAGTCGACCATGGGTCATGCTTCTTATCACATGATTTCAAAAACTTCTGTGATAATTTTAATATAGAAATTATTTACTGCACTGTCGGAGACCACAAATCCAATGGGATAGTGGAACGATTAGTGTACACAATTAAATCGAAATTACTGGCAATGTCATTCGAAGTACCCAAGCCATCTCTAAACGATTCGATCGAGAAAATCATCTGGAATCTGAGAATCTCAAAACAAACTGCGATCGGCTGTACTGCGTTTGAAAAGCATTTTAATAGAGTAGCGAACACTAGGTGGAAAAATTTTATGTCCAATATTGACCATTTAGATAAAGGGAAGGCTATAATGTCCAAAGAGCGGGCCACTAACTTGGAACTACACGACGTGGCAGAAGATGGCTATTTGGACGAGGAAAAGGACATCACGTCGGACCCAGAAAAAAAACATGCCACTAGCTAGGACTTTCAGCCTACACACAACCCCGGACGTCACTATCCGAACTTCAGAACCACTGGCAAAAAGAAAAGCAGTAATGGGAGGTAACTTATATAGAAAGGTGTCTAACAGGAAAAATAGGGACCCATATTTTAATCTGGTTAAGAAGGATATCATCGATTCATCAGAGCACACAGTTACTCTCGACAACGGTCACGTTTTACGTAAATCGGATCTGGCTATAAAAGGAAAAATACTCCCAGGGCCCAAAAAGATAATAGTGAATCAGACACCCACTGGGCATAATCTTCATACTCATTCGAGAAAAGCTGGATCGATACCCGCTGGTCACTCGAGTCAAGGCACCCCGAGAACGGATAACACCAGAGCAGGGACTAGCGCACCGACCGCGAGCACAGCCACTCAAGACTCTTCAAGATTTTCTTCAGGTTCATCTTCCTTAAATCTAGATTCGTGGGACAGGATAATCGAGGATTACTTTGACAATGTGACCAATAATAACGTACCTCAAAATCCCCATACCGAGTCTAATCAGGGCTTAAGTATTACAGGTCCTGTCGAATCCCTACTACTGAGCTCAGAAAGGACTGTGAACAACGACCCACGGGAGATTGTTGTCATCCACGATGCGAATACTATTGAAGGCTCACAGGAAAATCCTATTATGGTAGACAGTATTCCGGAACAGACGAACAGCGCGACTCCAAAGACCCGAAACTCTAGACCACGCAGAAATGTGGGCCCCCCACAGTTTTACGGAAATCGGAGATTTATAGACGTGGTGCAGGAAAAAGACGACCTAGGGGCGTCAACTTCCTTATTCTCTCCGCCACCGGACTCCCACAGGTCTACTTTCTCGGTCAACTCTCCTTCTGAACTTTTGACTCCATTAGCGGAGGCGCCTTCCAGACAGATTCTCGTCGCAGAAACTACGTTGTCCTTGTCTTCAAGGAACTCTCTCCCGACGGTCAGACTTGCAACATCTACCACGAAGACTCACTTTCACGAGAATTCTTCGGACTCAAATTTAACTTACCCGACCTCAAAGGACCCCACGCTAGAGGTGGACAACTATAGCGAGATCTCATTGACTATAGATTCGGAAGTGAGGGCTAAATTGGATGAGTTTGAGGACCAATTCTTGTAATCGACATATCAATTCAAACTTAACAAAACAATTCTGTAATTTATATTTTACCACCGGACTTTTTAATTTTACCTGTAGATACAATTGTACATGTTAATGTACATGTTGTGGATTAGTTTTATTTAGTTAGTTACCGTATTCTGTAAATTTTGTAATTCTGTATAGCCACCCTGTACATTGCTACATTCTCTTTCAATTGTGGATTCTATTTTGCTTCTGTATATTTACCCTCTGCGCGCAGTTTGTAAAATTCTTCCATTTTCGGAGGGGGAAAAGGGTGTATATAGAGTTATATAGTTAGTTTGCAGTTTCTTTTTTTTCCCGGTGGGAAATGTTGTGATTTGTTTTTAGTATCTTACAATGACCTTCGGTATTTTAATTAATACCAGTTTAGTTACGACCATCGGTCGATATGAACGGAAGTTCAGTTGTTCTTTTTAACGTTCTTAATTCAACTACTTCCTTTTATCGTTTTAACCTTTAAGCTTATGTACATACTTTGTACATATAGAACCATAGAATTAGAAGTGTACCTGTTTGACACCCTCTGCCACATTGATCTCGGAGGCCCTCTTGCCCTCTGACTCAGTGATGGCCGCCCGTTTCTTCCTCTCGGCCGCCACCATCAACTGCATCGCCTCCTTCACCTTCTCCGGCATGTGGATGTCCCTACATAGAAAGACAATAACCCCAATAACCAGGGGCGGATCTAAGATTTTCTCGAGGGGGGGCGGATTTTCAAAAAATTTTCTAAAACTTTGACGACCTTTGTTTTTTTTAGGTCGATCAGATTGATTTTCCGAGCTCTCCCAAAGCAGTAAAAAAAACCCTGTTTTGGCCAAATTTTCTGCGCCAAAATTTTGAAAAAACGGGTCAAAAAAGCCGTTTTTAGGCACTTTTTGGACAATTTTGACCAAATAATTGCGTTTTTTCGGCGCGCGCTCCCCCCTCAAAATTAGAACATATTGGCGCCTTTAGAAAAATTTTAGGGTCGGTCGGCCAAAAATGGATTTCTTAAAAAGTACCAAAGGGGGGAGCTTTTGGGTTGGCAGGGGTTCGAATCCCTGAGACTTTATGTGCCCCCCCCCCCCCTAAATCCGCCCATGCCAATAACTAGAAGTCGTTCACGTTTACTCGCAACATTTCCATTTTCGTAATTGGAGAGCTTAATTTGCCTTCCTTCGAGCAAATCCAGTAGCGTGACCCCCCCCCCCCCCCCTCAATACCCTCAAATTGCGACATACATTTTTGGCTGACCAAACTCAAAAAATTTCTAACGAGAATTTTTGGTCGATTTTTTTCAAGAAAAAACTCAAAACTTCATAAATGCTTTTTTTCATAAATTTTCCTGCGGCAAAATAAGGTCTTTATAGTATTTTCGGATAGCTCGGAAAACCAAAATGGTCGACCTAAAAAAGAACGAAAAAAAACAGCCCCCCGCCCCTCTAGAAAAGTTTCTGAGCACGCCACTCAGCTAATCAATTTGAACTGAACTTAAAAAGAAACCAAACGTCAAAATGCAAAAGATCAAATTTGGCCTCAAAACATTCCGTTCTTTACACTTATCTCGAGGGGCAGATTTTCCAAGAATTCATGAAAAATTTACCGGTCTTTTTGAGGCCGACCAAAAATGTTTTAGAGCTATGCTAAAACACTTTGAAGACCCTTTGTTGGCAAAATTTTTGGGCCGCGGACAAATTTTTGAAAAAAGCGGCCAAAAAGACGAGGAATTTGTTTTAATGGGATGAATGATGGCGTATATATTGGCGCTGAATACACCTTTAGACAAATTTTAGCGCGGTTAGCCGAAAATTGAAGTCTCAAACTAGTACAAAGGGGGACAATACGTCAAAGCCGTGATGGAAAGTCCGCATCCGCCCCCCGTTTTTCCAAAATCTGCACCTGATAGACTACCAATAATATTTGTTCTTCATAGTTGCCATAGTAACATCGCACATTTAGCCATAAAACAACATAAAACAAAAATAAAGACAAAAAATGTGGGTTTAAGCATGATAGTTTAGCTCCTTAAAGGTAACTGGGTCCCGAAGAAATATTTTTGGACCATAAAGATTTCGGAAACAGGGTGCGCTTTTGTTTACTTGTATTTCAAAGGCTTTCGTAAAACGTGGATAACTTTTCTTACTTGCATGTAAAAGGAACCCAACAATTTTACTTGTTTGAAAGGTTGGTGAGTGGCAAAGAGACAACCTGTCTATCTAAGTTGCGTTATCTGGGTGCCTGTGTTCTGTCTATCTTAGTAGAACAGAGCCACTATTTGTCAGCAGCAGTTCTAAATTCTGGCGCTGGAATCTGATTGACAAAATACTAGACAATCAGATTCAAGAAAAATAGCTTCAATTTAAAACGTGGAAATATCGATTTTGCGCATAAATAAAATCTCCCTCTGCCTTTTCGAAGAAACTTTGGGGTTCCACTGCAGTCCTTTGCTAAACTGGTAGGACAACCCACTGACCCTTGGACTCAAGGCTCTTTCAATTCTGCTTACGCGCACAATTCAGAGGGTCCCCGTAAACCCAACCGAATGTGCCTATCCCAACCTTCCAAACACATGCAGAGAAAACTTCTCATCTGATCAATCACAGATTCGAAACAAGGACCCTGGTCTTTTGGGCACGCATCCTACCAGCGGTGCTATACGCACCAGGAAATTTGGCGATAGGTCGATACTTGAACCAATCCGAGTCAATTTCAATTTCCTTAAGAATTACACAGGCTTAGAAGCGCTTTTTCATTGCGCGTTGGATGAATATTGAAATGTGGTGGAGTCGGAGTTTTTTGTTCTTCAAAACAAAAAACGTTACGCTACTAGGAAAAACTGAATGAATAAAACTTTGAGGCTACAAAATTCTTTATGTGAAGCACACCAATTATGAGTCTACAGAATAGCTAGGTGACGCAAGCCAATTATGACGCATTAGCAGTACCAGCCAATTTGAAAAAAAAATAAAGATGCCGCAATTTATAGAGCGGACGCATTTTAACTAGTAGACGAAAAAGTTCATTAAAAACATCCGACCCTGCCCAGGTTCGAACCTTCTTATTTTGTTGTGAGTCTCCTTCCCTACCTCTACGCTACAGATCCATGATACCTTGAGCTAAATTGCTACTGTAATATAATCGTTTGTGAATATTCTTAGCATTGGCTGTACTTAATAGCTGGTTTTTGATCCAAATGAACACAATTTATCGCAACAATATTTGCGTCGCACCAATATTTGCGACTTAAGTTGGAAAAAAGAAAGTGCATACTATAACACAAGCTTTGCTTGTGTAATTATGGATTTAACTTGCCTAAGTTTTTGAAAAAAGCAACGTTTTACAGATAGAAAAATAGTGATTTAAGGAGCTTGTAAAATTTACATTTCGACCTGAAGATTCAATTATTACTTCTACTGAAAATTTGCGGGGGCGGGAGTTCAAAAGAGCCTACAGAATTAAATGCCTATTTTCCACTTATCCCCCTATCAATTTTTAAAAGCTACTAATGTTGTCATATTTCAGTGAAACTTGGAATGGTGAAAAAAACTAACAACTGTGAACTGGTGTATTTTTTCCTGTGGGCTGTTCTCATAGCCCCCCAGGTGTGATGTTACGTTGTAAAGTGTGAAGGACTGGACAAACTTAACTGTTCACAATAGCTGGTTTCTTCACGTTCCATTGCGTTATGACACCCTTTTTCAAATTTTCAAACTTAACTTTCAAATGTGCTGAAGAGCTTTTATGATAATTTGCAAAGTTTTGCAAGCCCCCCCACCTTCGAACTTCGAATAAAAAAATTGTTCATATAGCTCGATTGTTTTGTATAAAAGTTGGGTTTTAAGTGTGAGAGAGGGTCCAGAATCGGCTCCCTCTCCCCACATGCGAATTATAAGTATTTTTCTGTCCACATTGTCCGATTGCTACAGAAATCGGCATCTGTACCATGTAAAAATTACTTACCCTAAAATTGATGCTTATGTGAGATGGGGGCGGATTTAGGGCGGGGCGGACACCCCCCCTCCCCTCAGGGATTCGACCCCCTGCCGACCCAAAGGGTCCCCCCTTTGATACTTTTTCAGAAATCCCTTTTTGGCCGACCGACCCTAAAAGTTTTCTAAAGGCGCCTTTGGCGCCAATATATACTAACTTTGAGGGGGAGCGCGCGCCAAAAAAACGCTATTTTTTTGTCAACAATTTTCAAAAAGTGCCCAAAAACGGCTTTTTTTTTTACTGTTTTTTCAAAAATTTGCCTGCGGTGCTTTGGGAGAGCTCGAAAAACCAATTTGGTCGACCTAAAAAAAAGGTCGTCAAAATTTTGGAAAATTTTTTGAAAATCCGCCCCCCAAAACACACAAAACAAGGGGTTGCTCAGAAACTGTTCACACGTCATTTTGCATGTAAGACACGTTGTAAAAAGTTAATTCACCTGTTCGCTTTGCTGACACGTTTTATCGCAGTTTTTAACCTGAACAGTCATTTTAAATAGATATTCATAAATTGAATTTCAAAAAAATAAAAGGCGGGCCTGGAAAAGAGCCAATTTCTCCTCAAGCGTAATAAACCTGCCTCATGTATTAACCTGCCACTTTATTTGGCTCTTTTTCCTTTTCACCCCCACCTGAAAATTTTTACATGTAAATTTGTTGACCAAATTGTCCTATTCTTATGAAAATTTACATATCGGCTAATAAGACCACGACAAACATATTTGGTCTTCATGCTCAACCTCGTAAAACCACTCGTTACACTAAAAATTGAAGCTCGTGT